CTAAAATTTTCATTCCGGTAGATTTTGTGTTAGATTCCTTTTTATCAAAAAAAACCAAATTGTCAGATCTAGCCGAAAATCGGCTAAAACAGTCACCCTGCCAAGAATGGCGAAACAGCTGCACATGACATTATGGGTGATTTTCAGCAAACCAATAATAGGCCAGTTTCTTTGCTTCTGTAGGCCTATGCCCATTTCACACTAAGGTAATATTATAGTTTTAAAACCTTTTCTGAACACTTTTTTTCCCACTGAACTCAAACATTAAAGGCCCATTTCTCATTTTTGACATTTCGGACTGTCCGATTTCCGTTTGAAAGAGCAAGTTCTATCTTTTACAAATATTGCAATAACTCAAAATAGACTTCTTGCACGGCCAAGTGAGCCTGATTTTGGCGTACCACGTCACATGACCAGGAACTATTTACAGTGTATATCAAAAGACGATATAATATCATTCATTCATTTAGCTAGAAGAAGTGTAGCGAACCCGTGCCATTGATAATGTCGACAAAAAGTAGGCCGCGGTCTGTCTATCACGCCCTTTCGAAAATAAGGAAGTATATCAACTCCAACAACATGTAAATGAAGTACACAAAATATCTCAACTGCCGTCCGTGTGTCGATATAGGCGTTTCCAGTATAAAGGAGTAACATGTATTGTGACGGTTACTGCACGCGTTCCCTGACGACTGGGGTCAAAAAGTTAGAGGCTATATTGTTGGGAAATGGCCTCGAACCTTGACGACTCACACTTTTTGTTTTGTTGTTCCGTTGTCCATTGCTGGATGCCAAACTTCCACAGTCAGATCATGTCAAGTTCACGGTGCGACATTTTGCTTAAAAGGCAGTTTCGTTTCTCACGGCTTCGTTCCTTACACATGACAGCAAGCCCACAATGGTAGATGGAGGTTTTACGGTTCATGTACCAAATTCATGGCAGAACTCCATTGTTCTTTTCTTTACAAGTTTTGGAGGCCGTGGGGTTCATTGGACGCGTCGTGGTCTACTGCTGTGCAGCTGTTTGAGGAAATAGACTATTTAATAAATGAACTCAATTTTGAAACTGGTCCCTGAAAGTTTTAAAATGTCTGATCCCTAAGTGTTCAAACATTATACAGCACATTTTTATATATAATTCCTCAAAAAAAAATCAATCATGAATATAGGCCTACACATGGAGAGTCGGTTGACGTAACGGTACTTTGCTCGCCTTGAACCACTGTGATTCGGGTTCGCTTCCTGCCTGGGCTAATTGTGGATTGAGTTTTCAGTCCCTACCTGATTCAGTGGGTTTTCCTCCCACGTCTAAAACTGTAATTTCTTTACATTGTCTTCTCTTGTCTGGGGGATCAGGGGATTCCACTGAATGAATGGGCTTCTCAGGTAAAATAAGAACGAAATCAAAAAAAATAAATCTATAAACAAATAACGAGACAATTAATTAAACATTATCTATACGTGTGATGTTTGAAAGGGAACAGGTTTTTGAGAACCTGCATTCCTAAAAAAAATGACTCGTAAAAAACACCAGTCACTGTAATGACATAATAATACCTTACATAGGGTTAGCCATTGGATAAACATTACGTCATTGCCAACGTAACCACGCCCATTTAACACGGACATTATTTTACCCACTGCCACCAACAGACAATAGGCGTCCTCTTATTATTCTTGTACGATTTGACAAGAAAAAAGGCGTATACAACATTCGTCTAGACAAATGTTTACACAGCAAATGGACAATAAGGTTGTAGACAGTACATCATAAACTTGTCATAGACCCCAGTGATGAATACGCCCACTTCTGATATTCAGGAAAAATACTCACAACTCTCCAAGGTGTTTGAAACACACATCAAATTAAAGCTTATTTCATCATATTTTATTTTCTCTTTGTTGCAATGACCCTTGGGAGAAAATTCAATCCAAGGATAATCAACCCTAAAAGTAGTCCTGTAGCCCATCGCCATTGTGAAAAAAAGATGCCTGCGCTCCATGGCAAAACAGATGTAAACTAATAATAATAATAATAATAAAGAACATTAGTAAAGCGCCGGTATCCACCTTAAAGCTACAGTCCATCATTTGTAATTTGTGCATTTTGTTCGTTTGAAGCAACAAAAGAGTTCAAAATCTAATGAAGGATACTGAGCAACTAACCTGATGAAGTTTCAGCTAAGCTTCAGCTGTACATTCCGAGAAAAACAGCATTCTAAGATCTCAATTTCAAATCAAAAGTTACTGAATCATAATTTGAATTGTTTTGAATTGCAGCTATACGCGACGTCGCGCACTGATCCGACGAATTATAACAACCGCGCGCGCGTGTGCGTCGTTCCAATACTTGTGCGCGCTGCGCTGAATAACAAAACGAACTACTAATTTAAATTTTCCTACGGTGCTTCTTAAGAATCACCGTTGGAAATGCCTTCTTTCGTTGATTACTTCAAAATTACAGCTTCCCAGAAAGAATAATTTCACAGGGAGTTTAGTTCCCTTACTATCTTTCAACCAAGTTTGTTTTTCAAAAATAATTACGCCAGTTACTTTTCGGATGGCTGCAAATGATGGACTCTAGCTTTAAAAAGGCGCTCATGGCGCTTGAGGAGAAAGTCAAGGTAGGATTGTGTGTTGTGAGAGTAAGCTTGTTTGTACAGGTGAGATTTTGTGTTTGTCTTAAATGTTGTGATGGATGGAGATGATTTGATAGCCAGAGGGAGTTGGTTCCACACTCGGGCTGACGCTGCAGTAAAGGAACTGTCACCCCAAAGAGTGGAGGTCCTGGGCTCATGAAGCATCATGAGCTCACTGGAGCGGAGTCCGGTGCGTGCTGTTGAGTACGGGTGGATGAGGTCGATGAAATACCCGGCGCATTGTTGTGGAGGATTTTGTACACGAATAGGCCAAGTTTGTATTTGATTCTGTATGATACTGGAAGCCAGTGGAGATCTGCTGATACAGGAGTGATGTGAAAATGTTTACTAGTGAGAGAGATTAGTCTGGCACTGATGTTTTGTAGTCGCTGCAAACAGTTTAGTTGATTTAGGTTAATGCCATACAATAGTGAATTGCCCTTGTCAATTTTGGATGTGATGAAAGGGTGAACAAGTATTTCAGTTGTGTGTTTGTCAAGATATTTTCGTATGTGTCCGATGTTACGGATCGACAAGCAGACTGATCTAGAGATTGATGTAAGGTGAGGTTCCATAGATAGAGATGAATCAAAGATAATGCCGAGATTTCTGACTTGATTAGATGGCAGGATGGTCGAATCACCAACCCTTATGGATGGAACATGAACTTTACACGATTGCTGCTTTGAACCTATGATGATAAATTCGATCTTTTCATCGTTGAATTTGAGCCAGTTATGAGTCATTTAAGACCGATATTTAGGGCCCAATTTCACCCGAATTTCACAGAAGTACTAGCTCGCAGTCCTGTTCACGGCTTCCAACCATCTTCTTTTTTTCTTACAAACCCTGAAGTTCATGGGCCACAAAATGTTCTAATACCGGATAATTTTTGGGCATGCAAATCATATGTTTGGCCGGCATGGATAATTTCGGGCCTATTTACTGGCCTGCACCCATGAACCGTCTCTTGTACGTTTTGCTGTGGGGACGTTATTAGGCCAAAAAAAAAATAAGTCGGTCTCTGGTCAGCGCGCGCGTCGATTTTAATCATGCGCGTCAATCTTTTTTTTTTCCAAAATGTTCCGCGGTAGCTCCAACAGCGCCCTCTACTGCCGCACCTCCTCAATTTTTTTTTTTACCAAAGAGCACCAAGGAATGGGAAATTGCACCAAGGCAAATGATCGAGAGCACCAAGGCAAATTATGGAGGACACCAATGTACATGAGGACACCAAAAAAACAAAATAGTACCCGACCTTGTATGTACAATCCAAGCTTGAAGAAAAAAAAAAAAGCAAAAAAAAAAAAAAAAGCCGCGTCGCCGCGTCAATTCCGGAACTTTGGTCTGACCAGAGACCGAATTTTTTTTTTGGCCTTACTGCATTACTTCCTCTCAAACAGGGCGATCGACTGGTTAATGCATAGAAATCAAATTTAGGCTATTCACTGCAGTTTTTGTAACTTTCGGTATGCAGTGGCCCACTACTAACAGGACGGATTTACCACATTCGGCATTATTATGGGGTAACCCTATCTTAAGTAAGCCTAATTCACAAATGAATGATAATCAGTAAGTCAGTCAGTCGGGGAGTCCGTCAGTCGGGGAGTACGGGTCAGTCGGTCGATCGGTCGGTCGGTCAGTTACAAAGAGGACAACCAAAAAAAGAACACTGCCGAGATGTATCGATATTGTGCCGGTAGTAGCGCTGCAAACCAAATGTGCTTATGATAAACACGCGCGCATTTCTTTTACTTACCATTCGGATTAGGTACATGACGTTTACATGTTGCAGTCCCCATCAATAATAAGTTGGGAGGTACTACATGCAAACTGATAATCTCAAAGTCAAATATTTGTAGATTCTAGTTGGGCTCTTCACGTGTCTCAAGTGATTACTCAATACAAGCAAACAGGAGATCAGACTGTATGTGTTTGAACCGTGATGTAGGCTATAATGCATACGGTTAGAAGGGAACCGTGGATTAGTCTTGTGCGGTGCCCTGGAAGTCATTCAATGGAAAATTTCTCTCCGAGTATACAACTACAAGCTTGTGGCCGTAGCTCTCAACGATATGTGACCCGTTTTAAGCTGTTAGCTCAACACTAAAGCTTTCATCTGTCATCTTGAGACTGTCATCATGAGACAATGGAGTTTTAAACTTGAGAGCTCATTTCATTAAAATGAGGACATGCGGTTGGGATATTTTGTTGGCATTTTCGCTTCACTAAAGTGGAAGTCACAAAGGAGATATATTACCACAATGATTGGCTGGATCTGGAGGACCAAGTTAAAATCTACAAAGCAACTAATTAGCCAATTGACAGCACTTCAAATCTCTTGTTTTGTTTTTGTTTCAGGTTGCAACCTTCATGCACCAAGCCGTGGAAGGAAGTAGGTCTCAACTAATGGCAGTTGGAAGAATAGCTACACATGCATAAGCGGGAGAGATGAGCAGACGAAACGCCCCTTTTGGCGGGCTTTTCAGTGTCAGCTTTTCCTTAGTGGTTCTTCTCTGTCGCACGCATGCGATACGCGGAACCGAACACGCTGGCGACTTTCGTGCGCAGGGCAGGATCTGCCTGTACGTGGACCTCCAGCAAGAATTCGACCGGACGGTCAGGGCCGTCAAGGATGTCCTTGATCTCTCGGACAGCAGCCACCAAGAGAAACTGAACCATACCATCTACAAGGGCCTGCTGAACCATGTGATCGGACAGTCCATCCCCTACCCGACGGAAATCCAGGGCGGAGTGCCCGAGGCGGACGCCGCGGTCGTCAGAGAGCTGGAGGAGGCAGGATTTGTGGTTTTGGCAAATCTGGCCAAGAAAGACTACTCTGCTCCTGGCGGAAGCGCATCTGTCATCACAGAGCCAGTTTCTGTGGAAGATGACAGGCCGCATCCTGAAGTTATTCCGCTCTCGAAGCTAGACGGGGTAGTGGCGGGGTCACCATGTGACAAAATATCTCCTCATATTGAGGATGGCAAAAATCAGGGGTCACTTTCTGAGGGCCCTGGCCCTACTTCAACTCACGCACAATCTCGCAGCTGTCAAACAACTCAAGCGGACCTCACCCGGACAAAACAAGATACCCCTTGTGCCATCCTTAGAGAGTATACGCTGCAAAATCCTCATTCGAAGGAGCCGACTCCGGGCACACCATCCATCTTCGGAGCTCAACAAAACCATCCAGACTACAACCTGGTCTTACAAACTGTTTCGAACTCGCCGCCAGAGGGCGTTCGTTCGTCAGAAGCCAGTAAGCCAATCAGAGTAGGAGCGGCTCCGGAACATGGACAACTTCCCTCCGTCAACCGGGATGGTCGCAGCCGATTGGTGAACAGAGAAGGGGTCCCTATCATCGAGGATGATTTGTATTGGTCCGCTGAAATTGACGAGGCGACTCCGAAAGGTATCGGGACTTGTTTCCGTTCTTTTGCCTTTTTTAATTGTGTCATAGTTCAGAAGTATCGCCTTTTTCCGTAGGTATGTAGGCAATGTTGCACCTTGGGAATATTTCCATGAATGCCGTTCTAAGATGATTGCTTTTGGTCATTTCATCACAGGAGTTAGTCAGCAGGAACTGGGTGAGTGGAAGGATCGATTATCGAAACAGTCGGTTCGATCTTTCGAACCGGGCGGCCTCGAAAAATGCGGCCGGGAGAAGAACCGTTTCATCGTGCTGGAGGACGGCACGAAATTGTGCGCTCGGTATCGATACCCGCTAATCACCAGCATGACAGGTTGGTTGATTTCGAATTTCGGTTATTCGGTTTGCCAAATTCAGAATTCATTTCCTACGGAAAGGGGCCATGTATCTGAGTTGCTTCCTAGCTTTTTTTTAAACTTAAATCGAAATAACTTTATCTTGACCATCTTTCTTATCGGACTAATATAATTCAACTAAGGCAAGTTATCTGTTCTAGCTTTTTCCAAGGAATGGTACTTGACTATTTGTGATGTTTAGACCAATTTTAACGCTTGTAAAGGGAAACCTGAAAAGCTGCTCTTTCTACTGCATTAAACTCAATTCTTCTTGTGTTTTTCTAATCAAATACAAGTCATGTATGATGTCATTTCAAGTATCGGTTATTTTGGAGTTGTGTGCCCTCTGAGATACCGATAATTTCTAGGGCCCGTGAAGCTGCTCCAAAATCTGACGACACTTTCACTGTCATTCTCTCTTTTCTCTCCGTGAATTTATCTATAGTGTCACGTGATGGGGTCCAGCCACACGCTGGTCCCACACTTAACCTCATATCTTCTTTCCCTTCATGCGAGATGAGGGAACCAGTCTTCTGCGCATCACGTACATGATGTGAGACATAATAATAAAGGCTATATTAACCCATTGCTCCAGAAGCGGAATTTGATTTTTTTTTTTTTAATCTTGGAAATAACGCTCATATTCTCCATCTATTTGATAACAACTTCTCCTTAAAATTGTCGGCCACATAATGTATAACAAACTTCCGATCTGGGCCTGCCAGATTTACTAAATTTTCCATTAGTGAAGGAGGTAAAAAGGGGAAGTGGAAAGCCACTGGAAAGGATTTTGGAATAATATATATGTACATAAAATTGTTATGAGTCCCAGATTTTCATCCAAGTTTTCATCACGAAAACACACGTTTCGCTCGCTCCTTTTCTTTTTTTTTGAAGATGAATTTAAGACGCAATACTTGGTTTCGTTGCTCACCTTCCAACCTTTGATTTCGTTTTATATTTTTAGTTCGCATTTTTTTTTTGGTAGTTTTCAATTCCAATGAGATAATTTAAAGATCGGAGCCTCGTCAAACAATAATTGCAAAAAACAGAGAAGATTTCGGTCAAAGAGGGAAGATAGCTGTACAGTTATTTGGTAGTCATATTCTGATTTAGTTGACATTGTTCTTCTTTCTGTTGCCAGGGGAACTTTACAGCTACCACCTAGCGCGCATGCTCGGCATGACCAACTTACCGCCGTTGCACCTATCCGTAGCAACCGCCAATAGCAGTTTCTGGCGGGGTCAGGGGTCAAACTTTCAGGATGCCGAATGGGATGATGGGAAGGTTGTCATGCTAACGCAGTGGATCGAGGATCTTGACAAGTACGTGAGACAGTTCATTTCAGCTTGAAGTCACACTTTCAATTTGTTAAAGAGGTGAATTCTAAAACAAAATACGTTATTCTTTAAATGTCCATAATGTGTGCACTGTTTGAATTGCAGGGCGTTTTTGCCAGAAACGCTCGTTCAGGGGCCACTTCCAGTGACGGCCCTAAACGGTGGATTGAGGAATCTGACCACGAAAGAGTTGACCTCGCTGCTGCAGTGGAGTGACCTGCTACTGTTCGATTATCTCATCGGGCACTTCGACAGGTGGGACATTTCAGTTTGCAAATTTTGGCTATAAAGTAGGCCTATAGACCTTTATCATGCTGCCACCATTTTAGTCATGATCCCTGTATCCAATAATAGTACTGGATGATAATGTTTTTTTGTACAAAAAGGAACCAGACTAAATTTCCTTCCAGCCTCGCTTTGGTTACGTTGATTTGAATGGGGAAAATCAAGATGGCCGCATAATGATAATGGTCTATACCTCTAAACTGAGAATCCAAATTGCACCCTCAGTGGGTATTTCTTCTAACGAGAATCGGAAATTCCCCCCCGACTGTCGTATACAACAGACGCTGAGCCTAATTTTTAAGGGAGACTATTTTGCCGTTGTATAGTTTCCAAAAGTTTATGGTCGGCTGACATCATATATGTAATAATAATTTTGAAAAATGATATAGATAAGACTTTCATGTTATTTTCCGAGATGTGAGGCACAGAATATAATTTTTCAGTTACTTGAAGAAGAACGTACTAAAAAATGGATGATTTTGTTTGTCTCTAACCTTTACTCAGATATTGTGTTGGCTTGAATCGTGAAACTTCAACATTTTTTATCTCTTCCTGCCATCTGACATTTAAAATGAAAGGAAATACACTGAAGAATAAAATGTTCATCCTTCTGTGATTTTTCCACATTCAGGCTCACCATAAACCTCTCCAGCGTTAGATTCTACAACGACAGCGCCCTCTTGCGCTCCGAGGTCCACAACCTAGTCCAGCATCCACACACCAAACAGTTGTGGATTGTGGATAACGAGAGCGGACTGCTGGACGGATACTCTTTCCTGTCTTCCAGCGGGAGTAAGGATGGTCTATTGCAGGGCGAGCTGCACGAGCAGCTTTTGAGGATGACCTGCGTGTTTCGTCGCTCCACGGCCGACAGCGTGCGCGCCTTGCTGGCCGACCCGGAGCCTGCGCGCCTCTTGACGGCCCGGGTCCTGGCGCAGGACCCGGTCAGCCGAGGGGTGTTCCCGGAGTTTGATCGGATCCAGAAGCACGCGGCGATGCTGAGGGACAGGCTAACAAACATCGAGGACTGGATGCAGGAATGCCAAAGGAGGAACGCTGCAGCCCTGGGGAACTTAAATTAGTGAAATCCATCCATTATTAAGCACTGATCGGCCATTTTGGGTAGTTGAGGCTATTTGGTTTACATGTATGTAGAAATGTATTGTGTAATGCCTTGTCCGAATTACAAGGCTATACGGCAGCAGTAGCACACATCAATAAGGAAAGTGGATTCAGTCGCTGCAATAAACGCAAGTGTAAGTTCGAGCAGTAGCCAACTACATTTCGGACGCGACCGTTTAATTATCAGCTGTGGATAGAGCTCAACAAGCCGTCTTGTCTCTCCGTTTGTAACAGACGTTGGATATGGAATGCACACCTGTGCAGTGCATTATACATCACCTTGGCCAACTCCTGCCTGAGGCCCTGTGTCACATTAATGGGTCTCCAATGAGGGGGGGGGGGGGGACATTATCATGGTCACTATTGCATTGCAACGTTCAACAAATGGGAACATCCTTTATTTTTATTGACAATAATGACCAAGTGAGTAATTTGTTCACTTTAAATAATTATTCAACACGAAAAGGTTTGCATTTGTACCAACAGTTTTGTTGGGAGTACATAAAACATTACCAATATTCAAAAATACTCAGGAACAAGACAAATTTGTAGTTTCCTAAATTGTTTAATTATCTAGGTCCTTTCATTTTCCGAAAGGCCACCGGGATAAATTGGCTCGCAACCACTATATTGTTTCTTTTTGGAAACTCCTTTATTTTGGCCAATTGGGCCGGCCATACCAATAGAGATAATCCTTATCATTTTGTATATACTATAGTTATATGAAATCTGATTTGAATCTAGTTATTTATTTGTCATAGAGCAGTATTGCACAATTCACAAACAGCTTAAACACAATAAAGATATTTTACTTAAAGGGAATATACAACATTTGCAAACATCGAAAAACAAAACTACCATTTTTTTTTACGAAATACCTTACTAGGATATTGGTAAATGACAGTCTAAAGCATCCTGTAAAATTATGGCACCAGGTGTGAAGTCATTCTCAAGAAAAGTGGTATTTTGTATACATTTTTGAAAAACCTAACTATATTTCAACTACTGCTCCAAATTTACCTATTTTTTCAGTCCAAATTTTGTTTGCTATTGGTTACATGTTCATGAACGGGTGCAGGCTATAGACTGGTTCCATTACCTTACAATTTTCCGGCATCTATAAATTGATCCATTTCATCTTTAGTGGAGTCAGGGAACCAGACTACTTGAACATTTTTGTTTTTCTTGGTTTTTCCAGTATTTCGATCACAAAACTTCAAACATGTCAGTGTAACAATATTTGATCTGTTATACTAACCCCTCAAAATAGTTTATTTCTGAAAATTACAGCAAAAGCCAATGATGTACATTCCCTTTAATACACAGTGTATAGTCCGATGACCATTACTGTACGCTTCCCCCCGCCCAACAGTAATCATTTAAAGTGATGTAACCGGAACACAGAATAAAAAATATATAAGTATTTTTAAGAGAATTCAAAGAGTGTCTTTTATGGTGTAATTTTGTTCATGTTGCGGCGAACTTGACGAAAGGCGGTTGGTTGGATCCTGATAAGGAAGTCTAACTTATTAAAGTACGTCCATATAAGAACGATTCAAGGGTGGACTCCAGTAAATAGGACACACTTTTTTTTGTGGGGGGGGGGGGGGGGCCAAAAAATCCCTTCCCAAAAAAATTGTGTTCTGGATCCGCCCTTGCGTTGGCAATGCGTTCCTCGCACGTGCTGTGGTCAAACTTCCCTTTGTATCCGTTGAGGGCGTTTCGTCTGCACGGGGCCCAAAAATACAAGTCATGTACAGTGTGGATTAAAAAAAAACGAAACCGATATATTATTGCTAATTGGAACAGAAGTAGGGCACATGTGAATCAAAGGGAGATATCCTCTGTTAGAATTGAATCTCCTCTTTAAAATGACACCCTGATCATGTCCTTACATTCACGGTTGATTGAACAGTGACCAATTTTATGAAAGGGTCCATTTAGAGACTTGCGCCACTTTTCATGGTGAAATTTCTTTTTTCCCCACCTGCCTTGATTGGCAACCATAGCCTTTCACTCTTTGACAATTGACACAACTGAAAAGTGGCGCAAGTCGCTAAATAGACCCTTTCATAAAACTGGTCACTGCTCAGTCAACCGTGAATGTAATGACATGACAAGGGTGTAATTTTAAAGAGGAGATTCAACCCGAACAGAGGATATCTCCCTTTGATTCACATGTGCCCAATTTCTGTTCCAGTTAGCAGTAATATCTCGGTTTCGTTTTTTTCTGATCGACCCTGTATAGTACAAATTCATGACAAACTTTGAGACAACGGAAGAAATAGCAATAGAGGGTCATTTGACAGAGAAAATGACAGTTAAAATATAATTAGTCAAACACACCACGGAAGAAGTACAAATTAGGATCAAGGGAGGATGGAGATGTTTTGGAAGGTACAAAGAAATAATAATCGACCAGAAAATTCCAGTATCATTTATAGGAAAAATCTACGATATACGCATGTCCAAATGACAATGACTTATGGGGCAGAGACATCTTGACGCAAAAAGTACCATGGAAAGGAGAATGCTCAATCTATCATAACAGGACAAAATCAGACATACCTACGTAAGACAGAAAACAAAGGTCAAAGATATCATAGAAAAGATCAAGGAAATGAAATGGAGATGGGCAGGGCACCTAGCAAGAAGACAAGACAACAGATGGACAAAGAGACTCACAGAATGGTAACCAAGGACAGGCAGAAGAAGAAGAGGTAGACAAAGGAGATGGAGAGATGAAATCACCACATACATGAACACGGCAGCACGGAGTAGGGTGACAAACAGAAGAAAATGGAAAATGCTTAAGGAGGGCTTGGAGAAGTATGACCACAGGCTGATGATTGAGCAACTCCGGGAAAGTACCAAAAAAAGGCACAGTAATTTCAAGCTTTCTGCCTTGTCTTCTTCTCGCCCATTTACAACTAGGCATCAATGGAAATCTATTTAGTTCAGCTATTCTTTTCACTTTCAGTTGTATAGTTCAGTGAAGCGCAAAGCCAGCATAAAAATATACTGATACTGACGGCTTTGTATTTTTGTTGTCACTGAGTACGCATAAGCCTTTGTGTAATCCGTCTCATACGCACCAATGGTGGCGATTTCCAAAGTTCTAAATTCTTGTACCTTCTCTGTCATATTCTTAATTCATACTTTTTTTGAGGGTGGGCGGGGACATTTTATCCACTGCACCCCCATCGACACGCCCTGCGGACGCTCATGTTGTTATTAAAATGTGCATTAAATTAACAGCAATATGAATCCGCAACTCGTCTTTTCTCTTGTTCTTCCTTTTGGGTTGCTTTTTCATGGGTTTGGGCAAGCGCCCCCCCCCCCCCCGCCCCCCCCCCCCCCCCCCCCCCCCCCCCCCCGTCGCGACGCCCATGGGGACTTTGGCGTTCACAGATGATTGCCTTTGATTACATCATCTCGTGTTCAGCGGTCACCCTGCACCACAAGTGTGAAGTGAACACTTATTCACAAAAATGCAAACTTTTGCAAATACCATATTTTGGCTAGAGCGCCCTCGCTAGCTTAAACTCATTTAATATGAGCAAAGATTTTATGAGTTGTTCAATGAACACTAGAGAACTCCGGGGCCATTGGATCATTCTCTGCCACTCTTTCTCTGTGAGCAACAAAACAAATCGGGATTTGAGATATATCACTGGAAATTTAAAGTACAAAAGCTGTAAATCTGCCATTTTCACGTACGTATCGTGAAGTGCGCTTTGAGACCTTTGGTATAAAGAGCTATAATATTACAAATGATGTACATCTGTATCTTGAGCAGCGCCCCATAGTGTAGTGTGTTGACCAGCCAATCGGAGCAGTTTACATCTGCGCGCTTACCTGATTGGCTGGCAATGACGTCACCGTGTTCGGTGGTCTGCGTAGCTGTTGATGAGGCAAGCTGGTTTCATGGGTATAGAACATAGAGTTATAATATAGCCGTATACTCGGTGATATACGATCAAGCTAACGGCTTCTCGATCATTGCTTCTGCGAGGATGGATGGAGTAGCAGCAACGTTTCGTGCTTGATTCCAAGTTAAGGCTTTTTGCGCAAAGGCTAACCGTGCGTTGATGAAAGTTTGAGTTGTTGTGGTCGATAAATACGACCAACCTAACGGATTATTGCATCGTATTTCACTGCATCTTGGAGAATGAACGGAGCAGCAGCTTTGGTTCTTATGCTGTCAGCAATGGCAGGTAGGCTTGAGATTTTATGATGACTTTTTCAGACGCTATACCACCAACGTATTTGCAGTCTCATAGCTCATAACGGACGACGGTATGAATAGTCCATTTCACTCCTCATATCAGTTTGTTCGCCTGTGTTTGCAAAGCTTGATTATAAATATGAATTTAGATATTGAATTTTCTGGAACAAAATTTATTGGAAATTTTGACATCCAAAAACTGTGCTAATAATATAACATATTTTGTTAGTAAATCTAAGCACAGAGAGTGGGAATTTTCTTAGCACAACGATGGATATACGGGAGGTATATTATGTACCTATCAAATAATTACTGTCCCACTGAAGTTGAGAAACCGTTTACATATTTATCACTGCTTTTTTAACGTTGTTGGTTTTTTCCAAACCGTGTGAAAAGAATAAGTATAAGATTGACAAGAAAACAAAAATATTTTATATTTATTTTAGTTTGTGAGGGTTTAAAAAAAAACCAGGGGAAACTTCAGGTTTTGGACAGTATGCTCTGATGTGCTCCTCATTAACCGATTGTTCCGTTCTGTTTCATTTAAACGTACATTATATTGCAAAAAAAAATTAAATATCGAAAATACGGGTAAAACTCAGAAAAACACGGAGAGTACTTTTATTATCCTCACTGGAATTTCCTTAGTTACTGAGCTCAATTTAAAAAAAAAGGAATCTTCTCTCATTCGTCGTTCCACTACGCGTATATCACTGACGGGGCACGCTATCCGGGAGGGATGTTACCGTAGGCCCCATCGATGCTCGCCGCAAGCCTAAAAAACAACACCTGTTCGGTACTCGGCCCCCAGTAGATTAGCGTTGCATTTGGAATAGACCAAACCGAACAAGCTATCACTGTAAACACTCACGGCGGCCCCCTTTAACGGCGAGAGCATTGTCCGTGCTATTTAAGAGTTAAGTCCCGATTACTAGATTCCCTTTCTAAATTGCCATATTTCTATAACAGTTTTGCGATACCCGACAAAACAAAAATCAGTTCAGACAGGACAGAGTGGATCCCGCCCCCATCAGGGTCGAAAATATAGGGACAGAATCCAGTTTACTGACTTGTAGGTTGGATGCTTGTGCGCAACCAGAACATGAAAGCCTTGTTTCTGAATTGTTGCAGTCACTGAAAATAAAATAAATTAAAAGTACCTTTAGTAACTGTGCAAGTTGAAATTTTGCTTGTAGAAAAAAAACCCCAGATTTGTTGAAGAGTACGTGTAGCAGAGCCTAATACATCTTTAAATAAGATTTTGTCGGACCAGTGACCCTAGGCCAAAGCTTCTCCGTGCGCACTACGACTACTACAATCATGACCTAAGGGCCCTGTCACACTACTGCGTATCTTAATTCCTTATGAGTTGCGCATTGACATTTTTTTCATACGCAGTCCTTCGCACAATACGCACCTCATATGCATCTCTATCGTTTTGTGTAAGTTTTATGTACGCAGGCATACGCATGGTACGGCCCAGTACGCCGGATAGTTTTGAGCATGCACAAAACTACGCTGCGTACGCTGTTACGCAGGTCATAAGTTATAAATACGCAGCGCATCGGTCCCGCATCGGTCGAGCACGGTACGAGTATGCTATGCGTTCGTGGGGGATGCAGCGCAGATACAACGCACGCTGAACGAACTCATAGCGAATGCCGACGTATTGCGTCAGGCTTGCGGTCGTCATAAGTCGGGTGCGTCCGGAATACGCTCAGCATGCGCACTGCATACTGACCTATTCGCAGCCCGAAAAATAATGTTGTGCACTGCATACGCAACTCATACGCATCTCATACGCAATGGATGCGCTGAATTCGTTACTTGTACGCTAGATGTGCGTCGCACATAAGACAAAGTATTAAAATAAATTCGATGTTTTGAGCATACGGCTGCGTGTTGAAAAATTTTGATAAGGAACTAATAAGGAATTAGGATACGCGAAAGTGTGACAGGGGCTTTAGCCACCTTATTTTTGATCGGCGCTTCTGATCCGTTACGCATTTATCCGTCGAAGTGTTTCCGAGGGACGATTGAGTCACATGTGTCATTACATAGGACGTGTTATTACATAGTGTGATCGGTTTTTCGTGGCCGAAATATGAAACGCATACGCCAAGCATACGCAACGAAGTATGTGGTATACGGATAAACAAGACGCACAAATGAAAAGGCGGCTTTAAGCCGCCCTGCTCTCCTCGAATGTTGTTGCCCCGAATGTTATTTGCCAATGGTTGCCTCGCAAAACCACGTCACCGCCTTGTCGTCTGCGAGATGAAGTGCTGATCACTAGGCCGCCACTGAAGAGGGCACTCCTCCACGACATGTTCCATTGTCTCCTGAGGACCACATGTACAGCAAGGGGGTACATTGCTGTATGTTCCACCTATACGGATGGTAGCCCTGCAGGGTCTGCTTTAACTTGGTCCAGAGGTTGCGTGGGAGGTCTATACCAGGTAGTCGAACAGTAGGATCGGCGATCAGCTCCTTGTTCTCGGGCTGCTCCTGTCTCATTCCAACGTCAATGTTGGTAGATATCATAGGTTGTTCCAGGGATGGTCCAAATAAGTTTATGAGATGGTAGTCGCTGTCTGGGAGGATGGTTGATATCCTGGAAATTAAAAGTGTTTTGGTAGCGATCCTTGACAGGAACTTGGCGGTTTCGCTCTGCGGCGGATGTGAGGGAGTGCGATATATTGCACAGAACCGGCAACCATTCAGGGTTGGTAGAGCGGATGGCTGTGGAGTTTATCCGGAGTCTCATTGTTGTGTTGAGTTGTACTTCCACCAACCTACAGTGTGCAGAGTTTGCCCACACGGAGTAGCATAGTGCTAGGGAGGACGTTCAAGGCGTTTCCGCATTAGCTCACCAAACAGTACCAGGCACTGTTTGCATGGTTGGACCATTCCGTGAGCTATTCGCCTATTTGCTGTCGTTGATGTTGTATCTCTAGATGGCTAGGTGGCTATTGAAGTCGCCCATATAAATAGCATGGTGCGACAGAATAGGTAAGGCAGCGTAACTTGTCCATGCTGTGAAAGGAGGCTTATAGATATTCGTGATCGCGCAACAGATATGACGTCGCAGAGGTTACAAGCGATGCATCAGTGATGTTGAAGCGGATTTTTTTTTCATGGCGAAAGGCTGCAATGAGGTCAAAGTGGGCGATGATAAGCCTGGATTTGGATCTTCAGATCTGGCATGTGTTTCCCGGAGGCAGATGCAGGCCCGTCGCCAAGGGGGCCGGGACACAGGCCCTCCTCCCCCAAAAGCGTAAAAATTACACATAAGTGTATTTTTCTTGTGGTGTGCCCCCGTAGTTTGTACTGGGGCTCCCTAGTGCCCGGAGTTGCCGATGGGCCTGGGCAGATGACGTCAATCTTTTGCTGGTTGCAGAGGGATACAATCAGGTCTTTTTTGGGGAGATGACAGGTCTTCAACATTGAGTGGAAGGACTTGGAGAAACGGGCCAACATCTTAAACGAACTCTGTGTCCGAGTCGCTGCCCATGGCGGATTCGGGGTCGTAAGGATACACCACAGGTGAATTTGGCGGGCAGGTGGGACTCGTCAGCCATGGAAGGCAGCCCGCCTGATTTCAAACCCCCAAACATGGGTGAAATGGTAACAGCGCAGGCTCCAGACACCATCATAGGAACAACGACATCAGTTCCGTCACACATAAATTTAAGCCTCGCGGCGATGGAGATAAGGCGACGCTGGCAGGCTTGAGCGGCTGGAAGCTGGCAGCCAAATCTCTGCACGCGAGCGGCTGGAGAATGATGGTTGCTTCCGCTCGCTTTGGGCATCGAACGGATGAGGTCCTTCTCTGGTGACCAGGCGGCCCTTTTTAGGGAGGCCCGCCTGCCTCAATCTGAGGACGGCCCTAGAAAAGGTGGGCTAAACAAGGCATGCCCTTCTTCCCCTGGCTGGCATCCCACGGCCAGCGGGGCTCCAACCTGTGGGGAAAAGATGAAGAATAAACATATCGTGATTGGTTCTTGGAATGTTCGCACAATACTTGATCGTCCTGACCGGCCTAGGAGACGCTCAGCACTTATTGCGAAGGAACTTGACAAATATCGAATTGGCATGGCAGCACTCTCAGAAGTACGCCTCAATGATACAGGCAAACTCCAAGAGAAAACCCACACGTTCTTCTGGTCTGGAACCACCTCTGACCAGAGAAAAGGAACATCTGGAGTTGCTTGTGCCGTTGCTAACCAGATCGCAGATCGAATGGCAGAACAGCCAACTAGCACATCGGACAGGCTAATCTCACTACGCCTTCCAATTAGCAAGGCATCTTCTGTCACTCTGCTATCCGTAGGCCTATATGCCCCACAATGGATCCGGTCCTGATTCAGAAAAAGTCCACTTATACTCAGATCTGAACAAAGCCGTCCACTCTGTTCCAAGGACTGACAAAATACTCGTGCTTGGTGATTTTAATGCCAGAGTTGGAGGAGACTTCAAGACATGGGATACAGTCCTTGGGAAATTCGGACGTGGTAACTGTAATTCAATTGGTGAACTGCTGCTATCAATGTGCACAGAATGCCACCTAGCTATCACAAACACATTTTTCAGGACTCCTGATGACAAACGGATCTTCTCGTGGATGCACCCTCGATCCAAGAAATAGCACCTTATCGATTTTGTGTTAACCCGGAGATCTGATATACATGATTTTCGTATCACCCGGGCTATGCGAGGAGCAGACTGCCACACAGATCATGTTCTCATCAGATCAAAGCTCTCTCTGCACATTCACCAGCAAAGATTGAAGACTGCGTCTAAACCCCCAAGACAGCTTGACATCCAAAAACTGCAGGATCAATGGAGCTGTCAAGCATTATCCAACGCTCTCAATGAGAACTTTGCGGATGACATCAGTCCACAGCTTGAGGTTGAGGATCACTGGTCTGTCTTGAAAGGGAAGGTCTACGACGCCTCTAGATCAGTTTTGGGACACCCACACGAAGACATGCTGATTGGTTTGACGAAAACGACGCTGAAATGAACAACCTGCTGCATGAAACCCGCATAGCTCACAATGCGAAGCTCAGCTCCAACAGCTCCTCTGAAGCTGTTTCTAACTTCAACCAGTTGAAAGCCCAACTACAGCAAAAGCTACGAAGGATGGAAGACTCTTGGTGGGCAAACAAAGCCATTGAGCTGCAACAGCTGCATGACATGAATAATCTGCGGGGATTCCACTAGGAGCTAAAACGCATCCACGGCCCAAGGCAGACATCAAATCACCCTGTTCTGTCCTGCGACGGAAAAACAGTTTACACCAACAAAAAAGACATCCTGGACCGTTGGAGGGACCACTTTAGCACCTTGCACAGCAGACCATCAACTGTAAACAATGTCATCTTGGACTTGGTGGCTGATCCTCCACAACCTCCATAACTAAAAAAACCTCCTACACTCAACGAAGTCCAAACTGCCGTGAAAAGCATGGGAAACTGGAAGGCACCTGGCCTTGACACAGCATTCCGGCAGAGGTCTACAAGTATGGTGAAGACAAACTTCACCATAATCTTCTCGGGCTCTTCAAATGTATCTGGGTCCATGGAACTGTACCGCAAGACTTCAAAGACGCAGTAATTGCGTCAATCTACCAAAACAAAGGTGATAGGCGTGATTGTGGGAACCATCGTGGCATAGCACTCCTGTCAATTGCTGGAAATATCTTGGCAAAAATTATTCTGAAACGTCTGCATAGAATTGCCAATGACGTGCTGCATGAATCTCAGTGTGGCTTTAGACCCAATAGGGGCGTATTAAACTGACATCATCTTCACTCTCCATCAGTTGCAAGAGAAGTCCATTGAGCAAAGAAGACCATTGTACATGTGTTTTGTTGACTTCTCTAAAGCCTTCGACAGTGTTATTAACCACCTAGCATTGTGGAAACTGTTGGAGAAATGCGGATGTCCAGCAAAACTTATCAACATCATCCGCAGCTTCCATGACGGGATGAACGGTCAGGTTCCATGGGCGGTGCCACCTCAGAACCCTTCAAAATTGACCACGGTGTGAAACAAGGTTGTGTTTTTGCCCCAACATTTTTCACACTTTTTCTCGCTGCGGTCCTGGAGGTCAGCTCCCATGACATCACAGATGGAGCATATCTGACGACCCGCTCTGATGGAAATCTCTTCAGCCTCTCCCGCTTAAAAGCCAAGACAAAGTTGCATCACGTCCGTATTACTGATCTCCTGTATGCTAATGACTCGGCCTTTGTGGCCCACTCCGAAGCCGCATTACAACGAATCATAGACACCTTTTCAGCAGCCTCCAAGGCTTTTGGATTATCAATAAACACAAAGAAGACAGAGCTGTTGTATCAGCCTGTTCCAGGCACCGCTTACGTGATGCCGAACATAACCACCAACCGAGGACAACTCAACGCTGTTGAACATTTCCGGTGCCTGGGCATTATGATCTCCAATGACAATAGCACTGACAGGGAAATCTCACTACGCATTGGTTCTGCGTGCACAGCCTTTTCCCGTCTGCAGAAGCGAGTCTGGTCCCGCCATGGAATCAAACTTGCCACCAAGTGCAAAGTGTACAGTGTAACCGTCCTGTCTAGTCTTCTGTACTCTGCTGAGACATATACACTATATCAACGACACATCAAGCGACTGGAAGCAGTTCAACAACGCCATCTGCGACAAATCATGAACATCACTTGGGACGACCGCATTACATACAATGAGGTGCTCTCTCGTACCCAGCTGCCAAGCATTGAAGTCACACTGCTGCGGAAACAACTTAAGAGGGTGGGACATGTGGTTCGCATGGATGAAGGCCGCCTTCCAAAGTCTGTCTTGTATGGCGAACTGAAAGACAGCCCACGTCCAATTGGCAGGCCGAAACTTCGTTATTTGGACGTGGTGAAACGACATCTGGTTACAGCCAACGTAGACTGCAAACCCCTTCAGAAACTGGGAAGTGCTTGCCGCCGACCGCAAGGCTTGGCGAGCTGCTGTAGGAGCCGGGCAAAAGTCGGAGTCAGCGAGGGCAACTGCAGCAGAGGCACGACGCCAACGGCGGCATGAAGCATTAGCCTCCCAACTGAGCAATCCCAATCGTGACCCACATGACTCACTTGTGTGTACAATCTGTGGCCGTCTCTGTCGCGCCCAGATCGGCCTGATTTCACAATTGAGATCTCACCAATGACGTGACAACCTAGTATCTGAAAATTAATCTTCCTCGACATCGAGGGACAGCCAACACAGCCCCCGTAATTTTTTACTGGGGCTCCCTAGTGCCCGGAGTTGCCGATGGGCCTGGGCAGATGACGTCAATCTTTTGCTGGTTGCAGAGGGATACAATCAGGTCTTTTTTGGGAGATGACAAGTCTTCAACATTGAGTTGAAGGACTCGGAGAAACGGGCCAACATCTTATACGAACTCTGTGTCCGAGTCGTTGTCCATGGCGGATTCGGCGTCGTAAGGATACACCGCATGTGAATTTGGCTAGCTAGAAGGATAATAATTTTCCCCCTAGATAGCTGGGATACTCATGGGGAGTGCGACGATAACGCTGACATGATCCATATCTAGCAGGGAGTGCGACTTTAGCTTCACTTAAAGCCATTGTCACACCTGCCGTTCCCGGTCACACTTTTTGGGAAACCGATTACAAGACTTCATCGGCGAACCATTGGAAAGCTATAAGGGCTGTGGGTGCGAGTTACGCATCCACAGATTCATCGGACTATCCTGGCGAATGTTGAATCGGGTAAAGCGCCAAATTCACAAGAGCAACACAGCCAGGATTTCTCCCGTTTTCGAAAAAAATCTTTAGTTGTTGAATAATTATGTTTTCATTGAAACTAGTTAGGACTATTTGTGATAATTTGAGTGCGTCGGAGTGTATGGTTGTTTCATAACCAAGAATGTCTACCATGCTTAATTGTTATTAGTTCTGGTTATTAGTTATTAGTATTTGAATTCATTTACATACATGTATTTATATGAAGTAGGCCGCCGAAATGCCTACTTCGACTTCGAAATGAAAAAACAAAAACGCGGTCCGGAAAGTTTTGAAAATTGCTGGAAAAATGAAAACCTTCTCAGCCAGTATAAGCCACCTGTATTCACAGGGCAATGATAACGATATTGACGATCGATTTTGATGTCTTAAATCAAAGCCTTCTTTGCTGGTGTGGAGAATGAGGCGAGGGTGTGTTACTTCGGTCCCCCGCCGGAACCTGATCCTGATAATCCGGATGACTGGATGAAGCAAGTCATGCAACAGATACGGGAGCAATGCCCGGGAAGGAGGCAACCAACCCCATCTGGTCATACTACGATTGGAAAGGAACCTACCCCGGCTGGTCATACTACCACGGGAATGGGACTTACCTCAGCTGGTCACACTACCATGGGGAAGGAACCTACCCCAGCTGGTCATTCTACCCCAGCTGGTCATTCTACCATAGGAATGGAACCTACCCCAGCTGGTAAGTTACGAAACTCCCTAACTCCGCCACCCTCCTTCGCTCGTTCTCGCTGAAGGAGGGGGGGGGGGGGGAGAACAGGGGTTGGAGGGAGGAGGTTGGGGCGCAGGAATATTTTTTTTTTTGGGGGGGGGGTTGAGGGTAGAGACATCGTACAACGCTTGAGGGCGCTACTCAAAATACTCCTATGGATAGTTTTGACTGTAGCTGCGTTGCCGCATATCAGGTCCTGACACTGTTTCAACCCCCGACGATGTCACCATGCCATGGTGGCCCCGTCACAATGAAAGCCTTTCCGCCTTTATATTTTTTTTGGAAAATTTAATTGCTTGCTCTTGTTTGACCAACAGCTGAGTGTTCGAGTCCAGAGCCACTCGGCATGGAGGACGGGACAATCCCTGATGATCGCATCACGGCGTCGTCCTGCCCCAGTAGTGGTTTTTTCCCGGCCAAGGAGGGACGGCTCAACAACGATTTCGCATGGCTATACAGGAAGTAAGTTTCTAAGGAGAAGCAAATTACAATAAAATTGTACCTCCCATGGGTGGATCTAGAAGTGTGACCTCACTGTGTGTGTCTATTACTTATTCACATCCCCCTTCATTCTATGTACAGTAACGACACCAATCCCTGGATCGAGGTTGACCTCGTCGAACGTACAGTGGTGTCTGGGGTGATCACACAAGGCTACGGGTATTGGTACGTGACGGAGTACCAGGTGGCATATAAGAAGCAGCCCTCAGCTGGGTATGAAAAAGTGACCGATGGAAACGGAAACATCACGGTAAATGTTTCCTTGTTTTGTTGCGTCCTATTCTGTTTAATATGCTGACATACATTTCGTGTTTCGAATGTGCAATATTGATCATGGAAACAGAAAAACAAATATTGCTATTCTAAAATCCCGTCAGGGACTAAATATCAGCCGTTTGACATAAAGATTTCAGTTTGTAAACCCCATAGACAGCCTCGTGTTTGTACAAAGACCAACGAGCATTAATCATGGGGTGATGTAACATATTTGCTGCCAAAACTCAAATATACCATAAGTTAAAAGCATGTGAAATTGTAAGGCTTTTAATTTCCAGTGGAGCACCCCACGCTCCAAAAGAAATTATTAACTGTGAAATAACTTTAAATATACCGGTGACGTGTTTTCAAAAAATAATAATTGCATCGCCCTCTCGTCAAAATGTTAAATTGTAATGCAAAAGGTTATGCATAATGAGCCATGTATTGTGTTCCTTTATATTTCAGGTGTTCATTGGTAACATTGATGCCGACATCCCGGTCACTAACCTGTTTAATGACAGTGTGGTGGCGACGGTAGTGCGCATTGTGCCTACTGCCTGGCAGACTGGTGTTGCCGTGAAATTGGAGTTGCTTGGATGTCGCCGTAATTAATTCAGCTCTAGATAACGTTACGCTGTCATAGTATAGCACTTAGTAACATTTTAAAACTAAAGGTGAAGGTGATTGCAAATGTTGTCCAATGAAGAAAAAAGGATAAAATAATCACAAACAAGGCAAGCCTATGCTGCTCCCACAACGTAGACAATTCTATTAAATTGATCCAAAATAGCTATCACCCTGGAAGTCTTTTATGCATCTGCAGTGTACAGAACGAGCCGCATTAAACTCATTCATTTTGCGTTTATATGGAGTAATCCTACATGATAACACTTGTCCAGTCTACAACCAGTCTCAGTCGCCAGGGACATGCAGTCGGTGAGTGGTTGACCGAGTGACGCAGACCTTGTGTGACTCGTACTCAGACTCGAGTCCGACTTGCGGTCCTATTTTTCGTGACTCGGACCCGGACTCGAGTCATGATTATAAATGACTCAGACTCGACCCTGCGGACTCGGACTCGACCCGCGTGACTCGTGATTCGACCACAAATGCCACAAATCCCTGTTTTCCCATCTACAAATTAGAAAGAAGAAACGCTTATATCTAAGGACTGTACATACACAGCGCATGCGGGTGGCTCCCTTCCGATACAATGTGGGAAATCAATGTATCAAAACATGTACCCAAGCGTCCACACTTGATATTGCGTATAAATGCAAGCTTTAAAGTGTTCGATACAAGATTATCCTTCCTAGACACTGGTGCCTTGCCTTATTGGACATGTTGTACGCAGATTTCCAGTTCTTTAATTAAATTAGAGAAAAGCTGTGGAAAATGGAAACATTTACACTGTGAGGTTTTGGCAGTATACCTCACAATTTATTTCCAATATTTTAAAAGGTGACTCGTGACTTGGACTCGTGACTCGGCCTTTGTGACTCGTGACTCGGATTCGGACTCGGTGACTCGAATACAAGTCTGTGATAAAGTTAGTGAGTCAGTCATTCCGTTAGGGGATATGTTTAAAAGAGGACATTAAGCTGGCCCTCTGCGGCCGGCAAAAATTTTTCAAGTAAAAATGTTTCTGTAACAATTTTAAAAAAAGATTGTAAATTTGTTAAACCCGTTTTCGTGTGTAGCATGCGGCACGGCTTGGAACACTTATTATTTACAGCTAATGCACAGAAATGTGTTGTCTCGTTTATACGGAAATAAAGATTGCTATTGAAACTCTTATGAATAGTTTAATTGCGGTACCCGCTGCAACACGCACATCAGATTCGAACCAGCCAACCGATCCCGTCAGCTTAGCTCGGTGGTCGAGTGGAAAGACATCTGTACTAGAAAGCAGGAGGTCGTGGTTCGAGTCCCACCCGAGTGATGTTTTCCAACTGTCACTCGGGAGGTTAATAGTGTTTGTACGTCGGTGAAGGGCAAAACCTAACATTGAGGTTGTGTAGGCCTATATGGTTTTCACTGGTTTCTCGAAAAGTATATCTACCGAGCTGAAACTTCAACAGGTTGGGTTTTGAACATCATTCTATAGATTTGTAGTGGTGTTCATTATTATTGGAAATAAAGAGCAAATTATCCTGTATGCCCTTAACATTAAATGTCTGGAATATGATAGCTTGCTGCAGATTAAAAGAATCATAAAAGCGTGGTGTTGTTTCATGATCTAACCAACTAAATAGACCCCTTGCACGGTGCGCCCTCGCAGGGGAAAGTTGTGTTATTCAGTGACAATAAAAGAACAGGTGTCTACTGATGCATGCCATAGAGGAACGAAGACCTGCACTCAACTGTGACGTCAGATGCAAGAGGTCTATAAATGTAATGAATTAGCTTTAGAAGAATGAATACAAGTCGGCCTAAATATTTTTTAACGGTATTGATTAATGTGCAATTGAGTCGAACGCGCTTGAGTAATGTGTGTAACGTAATATTATGCATGTTCTGTAATTAGCCCATTTGGATAATCAAACTGCGCATGCGCATATCAAGATGTGCCGATTCTGACCAAGATAAACGCCAGAGATCTTTACACAAGTCTATGGGGGCAATGTTAATGTTAGGAAATTTAAAACCTGATTTTTTTTTATGCAGTCAAAAAGAAGAGAGAAAACTAGAATAAAATATTTGTATCATAAAATATGGAGCAGTTTGCAGGTTTTGAAATTGTGGTACACAATGCATGATGAGAACAAGGCTTGAATTGCTTTGGCACCCATTGTACATTAATGCGTACAACCAACCTCATCCCTATGGCGTCGAGCAGTACGCTCCAACTATAGCTGTTCTTTCTACTTTTGTATAGAGGGTGAAAGTAGACCCCGGGAACGAGGTTGGCGTAAGCTGACTGGTTTTATCTCAAAGATATAATCGCAAAATCTTAATTATATAAATCGCAGTTGGAATACAGAACGGGCTGATAATTTTGCCTTTATGTTCGCAACCGTAATGTTTGCAAGGTGTAATTTATATTTGTACTGTTAGAAAAAATTCTTGCACTATTTAACTTTATATTTCCCGGTGTTGAAAGCTTTGGGATTTTGAAGTGTGTGCCAAAGTACGTGTGGCTTTGGCAGGAAAGGAACATTCACTTAATTCATTACGGTCAAATGTGTATCGTGTACAAACTTCTTTGACAGACGAAATGTATTAGCCTAAGCTAAACCAGCCATATGGTTGATACGGCAAAGCGTCGGTCGTTGTCAAGGAAAGCTTATCCAGTTACGTACTAAGACGCTGTAACAGAGCATACGGAAATTCGTGAACCCCCAAAACATATGCTCGGTATGATTGAAATGTTACATTCTAACTGAAGAAGAAATTCTAAACTTCATGTCAGTGAAAAAAATCGCCGTCATCGATGCCGAAACGTTACTGTCAAAGCTGACCTTCAAGTCTGGAAAAAATCGTTCGAAAACTTCCCCAAATGTATGTATTTATCCCAATTTCTAGGAATTTACCCAAGTTTCACGAAAGTTGAACACTTACATAATCAAAGTATATTCCAAATTTCTGCTTAATCTGTTGATGCGGACGCTAGTGTTACCCTTTGAACCATCTCTAAGGAAATTTCGAAGACGATCAAAACAATTATTTGTGTACCTACCCCATGTGCTTTGTTCAGCAAAGCCCCGTAGGCGCTACGGCTGACCGATTTCGGTGCGGCACACAACGATGGCGGGCATATTAGCATATTCATTGCGTCACTTGGCACGACACGGCGTGGGTCTCGGTATCGACCAACGGAAGCCGGCAAAAAGGGTGATATTTGTTAGTTAACAACCCGTGAAGGAGGCTTTTATGCAATTGTTTACTGCACACCGTAATGGATAGGAACCTCATTAATATTCGTGAGGCTTGAAAAGATTGACAGATATTGCGCACGCCAGTGTTACAATTTTCAAAATTGCACGCAGCGAGGCCTATTTTTCCAATTTCAACGAAAAGTAATGATTATATCACAACGACTTTTAACACATACTTGGATCATTATCAGGGAAATAAATCCTGAAAGTTGCATGAAGACAGGGTCTTCCAAATGGGAGAATTTAATTTTCAAAGATTACGCCCGCCAATTGAACATGAACATGTCTGTTTACATGAAGTTTCATTCAAAATAAAGCGTTACGTAACCTTTAGAAATCGCCCTTCGCAACCATATTGCTGTAACCACAGGATTCTTATTGTGTAGGAGGAAAATAATTTAGCCTTACAAAATCAACGATATCTGTGATTTGCAGTGATGGATTTTCTTGATATTTTCACTAATTATAAACAGGACCAAAGACTTTAAAATAATATAAAATTTGATTAAACAGCGTGCCCACCTTTTGAGCAAAAATAGCGACTTTTTCATGCACAGTGTTAATTGGGACACGCTGTAGACCCAGAGAATGCATGTAATGAGATGGGAATGCATTCGGGATGCCAATGTGTATCTATGGCGACCATCATATGACACGTCATTAGACTGTTTCTTAGCTTGAGTAGACATTGATTATCGCACGACGAGTCACGCTCACCGATCAATCCTCCCCAGCACCGATGCTTTGCCCTCAATATTGGAATGCAAGAATGTGTCGTTGACATGTATGCCTTAAAATGTCGTAATACATTCGGCTCCCGTTATAGCGAAAAAGGTTAGGACGAAATCCGGTTATAATTAAACAAACACATATCTTGGGCCCGGCAAAATTGTGCACAAAACGGGGAAAATTCGCTTAAGACGAAAACGGACAGTACGAAATTCCTGTTACAACGAAAGGTTTTGACGACCGGCCCGTTGCGTAAAAAAGCATTGTTAGCGACCCATTTATTACGAGAAAAAAAATAAAACAACAAAAGCTTTACTTCACGGCTTTTTTCCCCTTTCAGACCTCATCTCAAAGCAGCATAATTACGGTCATCAATGGGTTTAAGTCAGTTGTTTAATGTATAGGTTTTCCCGGCCAATTTCCTAAAATGTTCTTTCACTTCTGAAAATTCACGTCTGAATTTGAGAATCGCTCTGAACACGCGTAGGCTATCATTTTCGCTACCAGAGCATTCGATTCCATTTCAGTTTAATCAATTACGTGATTGAGCAGCACCTTTCGTTTATGATCAGTTGTATTCATTTACAAGACTTCCTTTTCGCGTTTAGAGGTCGATTTCAAACATCTACATGTACTATTCTATTTCACTTTTAGTTTAATGTTATGTGATGCAATCTGCTATGGAAAAAGTACTTGTATTCCAGAACTCTGCGCGAAAAGTGGATATTGCACCTTTCGAGAAAACAATAAAAAAGAAACACTGCAAAACATTTTGATCACGAAACACGATTTCGTCAATATCTTTATTTCCACCAACGATCAGTCAATCGACTGATCGTTGTAAATCGCCAACATTTGTTGTTCATTTCTTCTAAATGACAGGCATCAAGACCTGTTTTGTACCAGTACGATCTGTAATCGTAGCATTTAAAAAAAATAATAATTCGGGGGGTTATTTTTTAGGCATAAACGCAAATGATTCTGGAACTTTTAAGGCAAGAGTGTAGAGCAAAGAACGTCTTCTTAAAAAAACTGCACACAGAGAGCTGCTGCATACTGGTTTGATATAAATTTATTAAATATCCTTGCGTCGTAGATATAAGTCAAGTGGAAGTTCAGTTTGAAGGTCTGTTTGTGTTTCCTTTTATAACGAATGCATGGGCCACTCGCTAACTTGCAAAGATTCATTGTCGGTAATGTTTACATTATTACAACATGCTGGTTTCTATAGGTCAGGCATAAATTGCTATGGTTACTACAGAATGCGCATCGCACTACCCGGTCCTATACTATATCAATATTTTCTTTTCATATATGTTTTTTTAATTTCTACGACTACGACGACGATATAATAATCAATATGGCGAAGAAGTCAACACTGCCGAGCATTACAATCGCTTCACTTCATGCCAGGGACCCCGAGTCTTTGTCTGGAGTTTAGCATGAAATATTTCGCAATTTCATAACATCATGATGTTGCTATAGATTGTTTAGTAATTTCAACCACAATAAAGGCAATACTACAACATCTTCATGTGAATTTTAAGTGTTTACAGTGTATTTCGAGTAATTCTGGGGAATTTGGCAGATTTTTGATGAAACTGGCAGATTTTTGAATTGCGCCACTTTACGGTCACCCTGTAAAGCACCAAGATAAGTAGGCCTATTTAACACTGGCTCGCTTTGTATTAAAGATGTTTACTCCGTGCTATTTCAAGTTTCAACCCGAAGCAAAAAAAGAGCATTCTTTTCTAAATTGCTATTTTCTAGCAATAAATTGATGAGTAGGCCGTCAACCGAACAAATCGTCCCATGTATATTTTTTGAATTATCACTTTGCAATTTTGACTTATTGACTGCCAGACAATAATTTCTGTTTTCGCGGTCGGGGTAGGCTGGTTTCCGCCCCACAATCAGTATCGATGACGTATGGACCGGGAGCCAGTCTGCTCTCAAGGCGAAACTGTTTGTGCCCGAAGCAATAACATTCACTAATCGAAACAAATCAATGAAACGGAAATCTGATTAAAACAGAAGCAATGAGTGTTTACAAAGGCTCTGTACAAAAGGCGAGTAACCACGGTGACCGTTTTAGCCGATTTTCGGCTAATTTGGACAGAATTTCTGTTAAAAAAACGAGTTTGACGGAAAATTTGACAGAATGGATTTTTATGGCAGATTTCTTGCAGAATCCTGCAAAAATGGTCATTTAACAGAAAAACAGCAAATTTGAACAAAAAAGTGTCCATTTTGTTTAAAAAAGCTTCAATCCTTTCAAACAAACCCTTGCATAATGGGACAGGTTGGCTGGTCTAGGTGCTGAGGTAATTCACTGGGAAACGAACTTCGTCGTGGCCGGATCTGCGTTTTGCCCAAAATTTACCAATTATGTCACTTCTTTATGTGACTAGATTGTTTATTATGTAATTTGAATCTTAATTAAGGCAATACTACCAATCTGCATATGATTTTAAGTGTTTATCGTGTATTTCGAGTAATTCTGGGGAATTTGGCAGATTTTTGATAAATCTGCCAGATTTCTGATGCGCATTTAGCAGAATTTGGCTCTGACCTTACGGTCACCCTGCGAGTAACCGTTCGAAGGAGAAGTATCGGAGATATTGCTATAACTGTTGCCCTTGACTTTCCACGGTAGTTGTACCACAGAGCGAAACCGTAGTCTTTGCAATATGAAAAAGTTGAAAGCCTGTATGTGAAATCGATTTGCCTACACTGGTAAAAACAAAGCCTCTTTTTTTCCGCTATCAAAGTCTCCCATCTGCTGGCCTGTTTAATTGCGTGTGTTAAAATGTCCGTTCCTAATTGCTATCATTCGTCGGATCAGCTATAGTGCGCGACATCGCGTAAAGCTGCAATTCAAAACAATTCAAAACATGATTTAGCAACTTTGATTTGAAATTGAGATCCTAGAATGCTGTTTTTTCGGAATATACAGCTGAAGCTGAGCTGAAACTTCATTAGGTTAGTTGTTCAGTACCCTTCTTTAGATTTTGAACACTTTTGTTGCTTCAAACGAACAAAATGCACAAATTTAATACAAATGATGGACTATGTCTTTAATCATTTTACTTTGTCTGGCATGGGCAATGCGTCAAATGGTCTACTTAGTACTGGTAGTTGCCCATGTAAACAACCAGAAAGAAGAAAATGGCTTCAAATACTGAATAGGCTGTCACCTGTTTGCATCGAAAGCATATCTGAACGAACTTAAAATCAATTTGAAATACGTGTACCAGCAGATAGAGCCACTTTAAAATTAATTGGGCATTTATTTCTATATTAAAACAAAGATGGCCAGCGCTGTAAAACTGTCAGTTTGAGGAACAATCCGATATGATTCGAGTTTAGTAACACATACATATTTCATTTCATAATATTTCATATGACTTGTTATAATCCTTACATTTTCCATACATGTGCAGATTTGTATTAATGAGGCTTCGTAAGCACTGTGCTCTCAAATTGTTACTAAATATAATATGACTATGAGAACATGCTTAGATTTCAGAATGAAGCAAATATATATACAGACATTTTAGTGTTGCAATTAACTTGCAAATGACAAATTTTGTTTGTTTTTGTTTTTACAAAAATAGGCCTAACATTAATAGACACACAGATAAGGATATCATTCCTTTCACTGTGATATCGTTCTTTACAGAATAATACAATTATAGTAGGTTAAAAAAACCAACCCCATTCTCCTACCCTGCTCTAATATAACATTGACTACGGACAACCTTTACCCTTTGACCTACTAAAAGTGGGTGTTGACCCTAGGTGACCTCTAGCCTAGGTTACACACCTATGGTCCGACTCACACCCTAACCCTAACGGGGACGTCTCTTTAGTCCAAAGTACCATTGGTCCGACGTCCCATTGGTCCGACGTTCCATTGGTCCAAAGTCCCATTGGTCCAACGTCCCATTGGTCCGAAGTCCCATTGGTCCGAAGTCCCATTGGTCCGAAGTCCCATTGGTCCGAAGTCCCATTGGTCCGAAGTCCCATTGGTCCGACGTCCCATTGGTCTGAAGTACCATTGGTCCGATGTCCCATAGGTCCGACGTCCCATTGGTCCGACATCCTATTGGTTCGAAGAACCATTGGTCCAACGTCCCATTAGTCCGAAGTCCCATTGGTCCGACGTCCCATTGGTCCGACATCCCATTGGTCCGACATCCGATTGGTCCGACGTCCCATTGGTCCTAAGTCCCAATGGTCCGATCCCCAATTGGTCTGACAGCCCATTGCTCTATACATGTACATTCCATTGGTATAAACGTCCCATTGGTCTGACATCCCATTGGTCCGACGCCCCATTGGTCCGACGCCCCATAGGATTAGGGTTAGGGTCAGTCAACCTGAACCAGTGGAACCACACAGTATTATGTTTTGTTGGACCAATGGGTCGTCAGACCAATGGGACTTCGGACCAATGGGACTTCGGACTATCGAGACATAACCAACCCTAACCAAGGCAAGTTACCGGAAAATAGGGGTGTCAAACATAGGGGTGTCGGAACATAGGGGTGTCGGAACATAGGGGTGTCGGAACATAGGGGTGTCGGAACATAAGGGTGTTTTGAACATAGGGGTGTCGGAACATAGGGGTGGCAGGACATAGGGGTGTCAGAACATAGGGGTGTCGGAACATGGGGGTGTTGGAACATAAGGGTGTCGGAACATAGGGGTGTCGGAACATAGGGGTGTCAGAACATAGGTGTCAAAACATAGAGCAGTCACCTCAGCCTATGACTTCAACCAAATATTTGTGTCTACCTGCTTGGTTGGCTGGTTCCGAAATAGTTGACTAATACCATAGAGCTATATTAAATTACTAGAGCGCTAACTCCTTGTACAAAGTGAAGCCTGCTGGGCGCATCCATGTTTGTGCACAAATATATGAAAAACTCAAAATTTTGCATGGCTTTTGTGCGGCTATATAAACAGAAAGGCACAATCAGTAAATGAGCGTTCATTTTGCTCTGCGCAAACAAGCCAAACGTGTGCAGGTGTGGGCTGACATTTTTCTCGTACATGTATGTTGTACTTGTGTATTGCATTTACAGTATCTCTATATCCACTCCAGCTTTGCATTTTAAGGTCGCTCTGTAAAACTGCATTCGGTTTGACTCTTGTGGAGTCTTTTGCTTCCAATGGCCAAACTTCACGCATTGATTTCCCATCAACTTGTTCTATATTCCAAAGTAGTTCTGAACTGCAACAGTCAATCTTTTGAAAATAAGCACGTTCAGTCTCTTGTTTCAAAGGTCAACCTTCATGCAAATGTAAGATATATTAATAACTTAATTAATATATTAATAACTTCAATGAACTAAGGTAGTCAGTGTATTTAACAACTTCAACTAAAGACCACACTTCATCAGCGTCTTGACCCAGACTTGACCCTTAACCTCTGACCTATTAAGCATATAATTTGGTGTACTCGTTGGGCTCTTCTTCGTAGCTTCCACCAGGTTCCGGAAAGGGGTCCACATGCAGGAACATGTTGAGACCCAGGGAGACCTTGCTGAAGTCCCCGATGAAGGTAAGACAGAACAGCATGAAGGACCCCGCGAGTGTCCACTCAAAGGACGTGCTGACTATGTGAAGGGTGTAGCCCTGTAATAAGTACAAAACAAATACAACCATCAAGTTTCCATACCCAAAAAAATGTCTGTTCTATTTCCAGTGGCGTTACTAGGTGGAGGGGGGGGGACACACACATGTTCCCCCTCCCCCCTTTCCCAAACATGTCCATGTCCCCCTCCTTTCCCAAACTGTTTTTATTTCTAACTTTTCTATTTCCAGTGGCGTTACTAGGGGGGGGGGGGGGGATTTTGAATGTCTAACCCAGCACAAATACATATCATTTCCTTAAGTATCCTCTTTGAAAAATGTGTGCACCCCAAGGTGCCCCCCCCAAGAACAAATTAACAGTAGTTGCCACTGTCTATTTCAGTAAATCAAAATTTCCATTCAGTTGAACCCTGTTGGCAGAAACTATCCTCAGGATGGAAATACAATAAGCAGTATGTTTTTTCCCCGGAAACTCCAAGAACTTAGTTTTGTAAATTGTAATAGAACATTTGAGCAGATTCGCTGATTAATTATGAAAGACAACCACATCTTGACCTCTAGATTTTGACCAATCAGTGGGCACTTTCTATTTCACGTCTTCGGTCATTCACCGTTGTCCCGTCATAGAATAATTACGGGCTTTTCCAAGGCCGCTGCACATTTTTTAATCGTTTTCTGTCGTCTCGTTTTCTGGTAGCAAAATCGTTTTCGTATATTGTGTTTTTTCAGCCAATATGTCGCAATGAAGAGCACCAAGTATCTTTTGATAGTGTCCAAGACCATCTGCTCTGAACAGCACTCTCAAGGTTAAATGGTGTCCAGCCCCTCCCCAACCCCCGTTTTTATTTTGCAATGGCCAGATGACCCCTAGTCTCTGGAATATCCCCTTGCACAGCAACGGGATATGATATCTGAGCAGATTCGGCAACTAATTATGCAAAAAAAAGACTGCATCTTGACCTCAAGATTCTGACCATTTAGTCGGCGCCGTTTATATCGGGTCTTCGGTAACCCTTTGTTGTATTACAAAAATATGGCTTCCAAATTAACCAATCAACAGCCTAGTCCACATTTTTGATCAAAATGACAACACCGTTTCTAAAGTAGACTCCGACTGACAAGTGCATGGGGTCGCATACAATTGGAATGTTACGATAGATCAGACGTTCGACCGTGGGTCTGCACACGTGAATGGCTGATCCTCAGACTTGATGAACCCCCCCCCCCCCCGAAAAAAAAAGAAAATAATAAATCCTGGTTATCTTTCAAAGGGAGTAACAGACAGGGGTGGCGGGTGGGGCGCTGTGGTCCGATGGTTACGGTGTTTGACTCGTGTGCTGTGGTACACGGGTTCGAATCCTGACCGTGGGAACATGGTGCTTGTGCTCTTGAGCATGGCACTTTACCATTATTGCTTCGTCCTTCAGATGGGACGTTAAGCCGTAGGTCCCGTGTGTTGTGTAATGCACGTTAAAGAACCCAGTAACACTTGTCGCTAAGAGAAGGGGTTTGCCCCGGTGTTTCTGGCAGTGGCAGCAATTAATGCGCCGCAGCACCTTGTAAACCCTTATAAGGTGCAACATAATGGGTCTCATAATGTTCATATACTTCATTTACCTGGCTTGGTTGCATTCTCCCCCAGCGCTTTGTATCCTCTGGCAAAAAGCGCTATATAAATACAGTTATTATTATTATTATTATTACAGAAACTAAACGGGTTTAACTTACCCCATCTGTTGGTTTCCAGAGTTGCTCAGTATCTGTCTTGTTTTGGTGATGGTGATGCAACCACTGGGCATTTGCAAAAACCTCACATGTGAGGCCTGTGGAGAGGGGTTGCTAAGGAAGCCATCTTGAAAAACAAAAATGTCTTCTATTGTGTCCAATGTGCCTGTCAGAACTTCAGCTCATTTTGTAGGCTTGGGAACAATTTCACAACGCAGAAAAAGTTCTCTTTTGCTGGCAGACAGCCTGCTGTAAATGCAGTGCGTCATGAAAAAAGTGGCCTTTATGTTGCACTAGGCAAAAAGGGCTCTGCGCTGTTTACAGTTTGGACGTGCACACTGTGAACAACTGGCATGCAATTGGGAATTTAGCAAAAAACAAGGATATTCCAAACCACACAAGACTTTGCACAGTATTTTTCAATTTGTAATGGCATTCAGGAGAAGTAAAAAAAACGAGGATATCAGCGGATCCGAGGAAAAGTTGCATGCGTGGAACAAGATTTTTTTTGTACTGATGAAAGTTCTTTTTGCTTGTGTGGTACAGCGCTTGAATAACAAAGGGCAGATTCTGAACTGTAAGACAATATGGGCTCTGTGCACGAAGTACCCCCTCAACGGTAAGACAGGGAGAGATGGGGAGACCACCTGGAGAGACACTCCAACGTCCTGCTGACGATGTTAAAGCAATGATGCAATGGCTTAGCTCACATTCAAAACAAAATCAGGTGCACGTACGTCAGCATCAAGGGCAAGAAGAGCAGGGGCAGGAGCTTGGAGGCGCCAAACATGACCAAAAAGGGTGTGTCGCCTCCCTGAGATCTCTGAATAAATGCTACCAAGCCCTGTACGCTGCTGGCTGATTGCATTGGAAATGAAGTTAAACCATCTGATTTTAACTATGTGATGCTAACACTGCATGTGGAAAGTTCTTGTTCTTGTTGTAAGTCCCTGCTCGTCTTGCGTTCTTGTTCTTTCTTGCGTAGTGTCTAAGTTTCAGACCCATACAGGATAGCATTTTGCTGATTTTGCTTTTTATTGGAATTGAGAGAATAATCCAGGGTCTTCATATTTGATTTTATGTGCAAAATCACGCAACCCTTCCTTCCATTCCAAACTGGAAGTGCCTTATAATTTGAAAGTGGAAAAAGATGTGAACTTGCTTTCTCTGGCTGATGATGTTAGTCTCTAGCTAGGTTGTAATTTACAAAAAAATTGCCAGTGACGTCATAAAATGTTAGAGCGCCCCCTAGCAACTTGTCCAAAAACGTTTAAAATGAACATTCAGTTGATTATTGTGGCAATGTTTATGACACAGATGTGAGCCTGACCACTCTGCGTTTGTAACTCAACGAACGCGAACCTCTAGTTGCTGATTAATTGGATGTTAAAACAAAAACAGCACCAACTTTGTCAATTCTAAGGATACAGGTTACCATGGAGACCAGCATCAGAAGCGAAAAGAGGAAACGAAGTCGACAGACGTATAGTCTGGTGTATTCTGGGTGGAGCAGATATGAGATTCGCGTGTGGATCAGGGAGTAAATGGTGCCAAATAAAAACAGCATTATCGCGCCGATTTCATGGACCACGAGGACGTAGAGATCCTGAAAGATAATAACAGAATCACACAATTTTTGTCATTCTCTTGAGGTCATTTTACAGTTGGGTTAGTGTTAAACTTTGTCTATACATCAAGTTAACAATTATTAAAAAATACCCGAGACATTTTACCCATTCCTATTGGTTGAGAGCCCATAACGTGGGTGGTTTTAAACCGCTGATAAAACACAGCTGTGTTCTGTGCCACATCACCCAGTATGTGCGGCACGCGTGCTAATCTCCATAACAGAAGATATTTAGCACTTTGCTTGCGAGGCACAAAGCACAGACATGGTCAGAGGGGTGTTTCACAAAACATGAAGTGAAATTGTTGAACAAAACTGTTGGTAAAATGTGAATTTTTGCCTTTTTATTTAATTTTATCAGATAGGCATTTATGAATGGGAACAAAGGTGTGCTTGTCCTGTATTAAACAAGTTCATGTACGTTTCAAACCGGCTAGGGTCCTGGGCATGGATAATGACCCTTGGCTTCGGCTTTTGAAGTATACATAACTAAAATGCCACCAAAAATTGACCATATTTACCAACACAAGTAATGCATGCATGCGCACTAGTTTCCCCCATTTTTCGGAGGGAGATTTTACAAGATTCCCAAGACGTTGTTGTGATAGTGGTTTGTGGGTGATAGTGGTTCGTCATGATAACGCCTTCTCACGGCGGTGGCTTTGCGAATCCAATAAACAACGTCTTGACCTCTGTATGTTCTCTGTTACACCCATTTTTACCTGAAAGTTGCCAACGAGGCTGAGTCCAAACGCCGCCGCCAAGCCCAAGAAGAAGCTGGCTTTATTCAGACGTCCAACCCTCTCCGGCGGCAGCCCCTCGATAGTGTCGACTTCCTTGAAGCGGACATACACCAGTGCCACGACTACATGTACAACAAATTCAGAGTACGGAGTCAGGTTGACGCAGTGGTTCTTTCCTCATCTTCCACTGTTATGGTTCGGGTTTGATTCCTGCCCTAGTCTACATGTGGATTGGGTTTTCGGTCCCTACCTGATTTGGTGGGTTTGCCCCAGAATATTCCTCTGGGGTTTTCCTTGGGTACTTTTGAGGAATCCTCGGCTTCATTACCAGAAAATAGTTAATAAACAAAAATAATAACAACAGTTCAGGCAATGTTAGGCGACTGGGATTGAACTTCAAAGTGACTTCAAAATAAACCTTCATTGTTTGCCAAGGATTCGTCTTAGTCAGGTGGCATATGGTCGGAATCGTGACCGACTGGTCCAAAGCACCAAACTTGGCAGATAGATTCTTATAGCCCTAGAGAAGATATTTAGAAGGGGTGACACCTGAAATTCTTTTGGGAAGGGTGCCTAATTTGCATAAATCGTTAATCCCTGCCGTGTAATATATTTATTCCCATATTTGGGTATATTTTTATTTTATTATTTTTTTGAAAAGTGTATTTTGGTGATTCTACTTGCATATTCTTACTTCAATAACATTTTGTAAAACATATAAGTGACTGAATAATTAGGAGGACATATTAAAGAACCAAAATTGCTACTATTTTACCCTAAAGTTGCGCGCATTTACCTTTTCCTCAGATATCATCAACTAGTCTCGCCAAACGTGGGTATCGATGAGCTTCAAATTCACAAAGTTACTTACTGGCATAGTTACCCTAACAAAAATAAGTGGGAAATTAAGTGAAAATTGATAACATCTTGATGTTTAGCCCAAAAGACCCCAAAAGGGGAGAAAATGTGGTGTCCGTAAATTGGGCTAGTACGGGAAGGGTAATGTGGGGACTTGAACAAGTTCAACGAAATCCCCCTAAATAAGAGATTATTGTTGTTTACAATAATTTTGTCTACGCCAAAACGTTTTCTCAACAATAATTTTGGGAATTTCCTTGAACTTTGTCCAGTGTTCCACGTTAGGCAACCCTTCACCTACTTGTTAGCCTAATTTATGGGCACCTCGTTTTTTCCCAGTTTTTGTTTTCTGGGCTAAATATCACAATGTTATCATTGTTCACATGATTTTGCATAAGGTTTTAATAGGGTAACTGTACCAGTAAGCTACTTGGTGAATTTGAAGTTCATCAATGTTGATGTTTGGCAAGACTAATTGATGATATCTGGAGACAAGGTAAATGCGCGCAATTTTAGGGCATAATAGTAGCCATTTTGGATCGTTACTATGTCCTCATAATTATTCAGTCACTTATATGCTTTGGAAAATATTATTTAAGTAAAGATATGTAGGTAGAATCCCCAAAATACACTTTTCAAAAAAATAAAAAAATAAAAATATACCCAAATATGGGAATAAATATATTACACGACAGGGACAGGGATTAAAGATTTATGCAAATTAGGCACCCTTCCCAAAAGAATTTCAGGTGTCACCCCTTGTAAATATCTTCTCCAGGTCTATAAGAACCTATCTGCCAAGTTTGGTGCTTTGGACCAGTCGGTCACGATCTTGACGAAAATTAGATCTAAGCCACCTGACTATCTATGATTTTTTTATTTTCCTGGGGAGGTGAGGGTGGGGGTGCAGTTGGTAGAGGGGATCAGTGTTTCCCCTGGCTAATGAACTGAGCGAGGTGGTAACAATTCAAGTTGATGATTGAAACGAAATTTACAGTCTGCAAACTGAAAAGAATGCAGCGCTCACAAAAATGCCCGATGATTCAAAAAACACATCGAAACTGCGAGTTCTTGATACATGGAGGTAAAGGAAAATGCTCATATATTACACAAAATGAAAATTTTTCAATTGATATTTCCTTTTTTGCCAATCTTCACAGCGAGGTGGTGATATTGGCAAAAATTGAGCGAGGTGGTCACTGAAAGTAGCGAGGTTGGCCACCTCACGTTTGAATGGGCAGGGGAAACACTGGAGGGGATACATGTACATGTAGGCCTAAATGTCATCAGTCACGACACAAAAAGAGCTTAAAGTCAGTGTTTTGAATATTTGTATTTCTTGACTTGGATAAAATTTGAAGAAGAAATTTCCAACAGTGTATAACATTTGGATATATACATGTACTGAGTTCACCCTTTGGTTGACACGGCAGTTGCTAGAGACCACTCAAGAAATGTTTCAATTTGTTCATCTAATCCAAATCTGTGCACCGCAGAGTTAAGCTAAAAAGACAATGCATACTGCAAACTTTAGTAAAGTTGTAGACTTGGCTGTTGGTGGCCACATACTGTATTCATACAACTCAAGTACATGTATTACAGCTTTGCATTCGAAAACCAGTTTTGCAAACACTGTTGCACATGCGTCTAATTTTAATATTTTTGCATATTAGATCACGCCCCATTCCTTTTCGTTTTCTACTCTCGAGGTTCCGGTACTGGTGCAAGGACGGTGCCCTTTAGCCGTCTTCGCCCGTTACCTGGCCGCTGTGGGTTGTACTACTCGGTACTTGTTTCTAGGAATATCAACTGTCCATGACTCCTTGTTGAACAACAAATATCCATGACTTTCCCATGACAGCCTAAAATTCCAGGATTTTTCCCGGATTTTTCCATACCTGAGGGAACCCTGTGGAAGTTTTGAGTTTTAATTGGAGGAGAGAGTATATGGTAGTACTTACAGACCAGGGCAGAGATGTTGACAAACTGAGCAAAGAAACAACTCTCTGGGGGCTTAGCACCTGTGTCACTGAAACAGAAAAACAAACAAATACATTGTATACATGTAGGTGTCAAGGTGTAAAATTTGGTCAAATATTGCTGGTTTGTGTGATTTGTAAGCGGATTACAAGTCAGACCTCCTGGAGCAATTTCAATTCCTATTTTTTCCTGACGGGGGGAGGGGGGGGGGGAGGCGCCCCTCTCAGATCTCGGCCATCGAGTGACTGAAAAATTATGAAACTTGGTGCAAAATGATTAAACTCAGGGGAGGATTCCCCGCCCCCAGTCCCTTTTAGGGTTAATGCTTGGTGGCATTCTGTTGATAAGTGCGAATATGAGACCACGGGCCAAATTGTGTATTCACCTCTTAAATGGCCTTCAAGTTGAAGGAAGAGCAGCCAGGCAATGATTTCAGGCAACCAGGATGCAAGGATATACATGTAAGTACTAAAGTAGCTGTGCTGGTTGTCTATCGCAAGAGTTTGGAACGGCAATAAATTGAGGACACAATGAACAAATGCTTACATAGTCGCAATGCTAATAGCTCCACATTAATGAGATATAATCTATTCAGATTAGCCGTGATATAATTCTGGTAAAATAAATTTTGGCCACCCTTATTCTACATGTATTTCTGAGAAAATTGACTTTGATAAAAAAAAATGTGGTGTTTGTTTTACTCGCCCCGTACACTGGTGTTGATGGCTGAATGCAGCTAATGGGTTTGAGGGTAAATGGAAAATGAATATGGTATATTATACCTGATGTATGGAAAAAGCACAGGGACATCGCCTTTCAGCACAGCAATGAGATAGGAGATTCCAACGGTGATGATGAGCAGCAGGAAAAAGATGATTGGTAAGAAACCCAAATTACGCGGCCAACACGCCATTCTGATGGGAAATAATGAACCAAAAAAACCTGCAGTTTAAATTTGTCTGTGAACATGATGATTTGGTCCAAACACTCCCCGATCGTTTTCGTTGTTGAACTGAACATGTACAGTGACACGAGCGAGTGTTTTTGTAGCATGGAAATTTGGGTAATCCTTACCAGTACATTTAGGACCCTCTTATATTATAAGGTTAATTATAATGACTCACCAAAACAGCTGACTAAATGACACTCGAAACTCGAAGGTGACATTCTGATATTTCTTGACACATCTGAACAGTTTGCAATGACACGTTCTTGAATATCAGCAGGTTCAAGTTTATGGTAAGAGGGCAGGGCTTTGATTTATGTGGGAATTAAGGGGTAAAACTAAAAGAAGACGCCGAAAACCACTCTAGACTAAACAAAGCCCTTCCCAGACTAGTTGACGGTCCTCCATTATTACAAAACGTCATGTGGGGGCAGAAAAAAAGCAATAATAAAACAGCTTTAATTTAATTCAAATTTAATTATCGTATTTAAATGAGTCAGAAGCATAAATCATTTTCTTTTCTCGTTATATGAATTGTTTCCCCTTTTTAGGCTTTAATTAAAGGGAATATACAACATTTGCAAACATCGAAAAAAAACCTACCAAGTTTTTGCGAAATACCTTAATAGGATGTTGGTAAATGACAGCCTGAAGCATCCTGTAAAATTATGGCACCTGGTATACTGTCATTTTCAAGAAAAGTGGTATTTTTGTATCAATTTCCAACGCTGATCGGCCGATCAGCGTTGGAAACAACTGGCTTTTTTTCAAATACTGGCCCCAATTGACCATTGCCCTTGTTTGCAATCGATTACAAACCTATGAACGGGTACGAGCCAGCTAGACTGGTTCCCTGACCTTACAATTCCCCAATGTATGTAAACTGCTCTGTTTCTTCTTATATGGAGTCAGGGAACCAGACTACAGGAAAATGATCGTTTTTCTTGGTTTTTATAGCATTTTCGAATCCAAAACCTCCAAAAAGTCAGTGCAACTATATTTGCTTTATATTTCCAACCCCCAATTCCATCTATTTCTGAAAATTACAGCAAAAGCAAATGATGTATATTCCCTTTAACCCCAATACATTTAATTGCCGTGCAATGTTTAAAATTGCACAACATTCATAAATTGCGCACGTACTATTATGCCCACGCAATCTTAAGAATGAGCGCTCATTCCTAAGACTGCGTGCTCATTCTTAAGAATGCGTGCTCGTTCGTAAGAATGTGCGCTCATTGAGCATGTTGAGTCATTCTTACATGTCTTAAGATTGCGGAATTTGCAAGAAACCGCGCAACAGTCATGACAGTTGAACAGCCTACCTGAAGAATGTGTGGCAGCAACAGTTACAGAAATGGCCAACTTCCAGGCAACAGCTAGTTGGTTGGCCGTGTACAGGCGAGATAGTGGCATTCTCGGTTTTCCTAATACTTTATAGTTGTGGTTTTGCTTCTTGGCCAAACACATGACAATGACATAATTGAAGTAGCGCGCCACCAACGGTACGGGTACGGAGGCAGCAATCACTGAAGACAACTACATTTTTATGTTAGGGGACTCTATTCATAAGAGGACATTTTTGCAACTGTCCTGACTTCAAAATTATTTGTTTTCTACGATATGCTTTTAATTTTCATCTTTGAAAAGGTTATCTTATTTGAATTATAATTGATTACTGTGATAATCAAGTCATTTTTGGGGGAGATATTTCGAACCAGGAGATTCCATGCTACAAAACACCCCTGATATTTCCTTTTAGTATAGCCTTTATTGACCTCTTTGGCTCACCTGTCATCTCCGAGTGCGCGTGATGATGATGTAGCTATCTGCATGAACTGAACTGTTTGTGCAACATTAATAATAATTTACCATGTCTACTCCTTCCTGATCCTGGCCTCAATGGTATATAGATCATCGTAGTTAACATGTTATGGTATTATAAACTGTGCCCGATTGCAAACAGATTAATATTAAACCCAGGCCCGCGAGACAGGGTGGATTTTTTTTTTTGACTTTGGCATTTGGCTAGCCTACCAATATACCATTTCTTTTTCTACTTTCTAGCTTTACTCCATGATCCAGCCATGGGCATGGAGGAATAAAAGCACATGTTTTATTCCTCCATGATCCAGCTGACATGCTGATCAGGAATTCACAGGAGCATGTCAGCTGCTAACACCATGGAGCTAGCTTCGTTGAGTAATTGAGCATGCCTTGAGTAACTCCAGCTAAAACTAAGTAAAAGTTAAAAGTACAAACGAAAAAGGGACAATAGGGGGTCCCCGATTGCAGGCAAATACACAAGTGTGTGTGTGTAGTGTAGTGTTTTTTAAAATTGGTAATTAAGATCTGGTTGTCTATTATAAAACAAGTGTCTTTTTCTTCTGTACTGTAGACTGTATCTCTCTGTAGCCGAGCAGATCGTATAGAAAGAGCCAAAAGCCAGATTAAAACGGTAAGTCGCTTGAACATTCAAGAATAGAAGGAGTGAAGTCATCTGACATGTCTGATGAAAATGATAGTATCATTTTATTTGCTTGCCAGTTTGAAGTTTCATCGGTTGCTTACTAATTTGCTAACCATTCAGGGAAATATTCCCATATCTGGCCATCGCTAATTTTTCCCTTCAGTGACCTATCAGAAATTTAGCAGGGAAACTATGGATGTATTTACTGCACTTACAATAATGTACAAATTTTCAGACCAGTCTCATAAGGTTTGTGCACAGGGTGACAAGTGATGTCCAGATATGAATCTTTCCCCGTTCAGCACTCCAGACATTGAGTTTCATGATGTATTCATTATTGTAGGTACGTGTGCTTTAAGATATTGGAGCTAAGATATATTTAAGCCAGTGTACATGTACATCACTACATGATGTAAACAATTCCTTTGGTCCTGCCAATGTGATAGTTACATCATTTTATCTTGTTAAATAAACACTCAGTATGTTTGTCCACCTTTGCCCCAATTGCAAAGGCCACACGCTATGCCAGCCTATTGAACAGTCACACATACTCTGCAGCACTCTTTCCTAGTACTAGTACTAGTGTTGTGGGTGTTACTGTGTTAGTTGTTGCTGAAATTTGTGTCTGCATCTACAATTCCCAACGATTGTGCAAATGTCAGAAACGTTGGGTATGGAAACGCAACCTGTTCAAGTTGAAGGGGCCACTGATGATGCCAATGGACAGAATAATTCTAACTATGGGGCGACATCATTGGGTGATGAACAGCGCAGGTGGGGTCTGTTTGTATTTAATATAAGCCAGCTCGATATATTCAAAGATAGTCTGGTGCAGAGCAAGATTTGATGATTTTTTTTCGGGATAACCGAGGCAGATAAATGCATACTAGGCTACTGAGGACGTACCGTAGTAACCAAATCTGCATTCTGTGCAATTTTTGTGCAATCGAAAAGAGATGGACTCTCGTTTGCACATAAGTTTTGACACAAAAGACACCTAAAAAACCACTTCTCTGTCTAAAGTTTTTTTTGCAAACTGTTATACTTCAGAACACGGTGATCTCTTCCATTTTGCTGGCACCCCACTAATGCTTTTGTACGCATTTGATGAAATGTTTGTCCCGAAAGACAAATCAGCAAATCTTGATGTGCGCATGTGCAGTTGGAATACGGAACTCGCTTATGGGCTCCGTGCACAAGGACCCCATCAACGGCCAGAAAATGAGAGTTGGGGGGACCTAGACTGGTTCCTGATCCATCCACTGCATATTTCAAATGTATCCAAAGATATTGGAGGCAGGGATAAGTCTCGGAGACTATTGCAAGTTAAATTCGAACAAATATGTATTCGTGTGCCGATGACGCCTGACGCTCACGCAAAGACGCGGTGGCCATTTGCACATTAAGGAAGTCATACGCTCTTCGCGCCCGCTGACGCGAACCAGTACGGACAAGTATTCAAACGCTGTGTGTCCCGTCCATAGAGCTCTCAAAAGAGGTAAAAACGCGCCCTCTTTCGTTGGCGCACAGAGCCCATAGTCAATGGGGAAAAAACGTATAGCCGGTATGTTGAAATCTGTCGGGCGAGTCATCGATCCTTTTCTTGATCACTGATTGGTTCCCCAAGACAGCCTAAGGAGAAAATAAAGAAAAACTTAAGCCGCTGAAACGAAATCGGCCCGCTGGTCTAATTGTTGTGCCACTAGAGGGCGCACTATGCACCGTCCACTATTGACCACTAGCGTCTTGGGCCAAGATTACCTTCCACCCACCCTAAAAAGAAAAAATAAATCACTTTTTTTCTTTTTCCCTCATCAGCAGAGTTGAGGTCACAGAGAAGAGAACCATGTGCACCCCGTGGCTGTTTGTTGGTCTTGGCTGGTTACCGATATCTGTCGGTCTCTCCTTGGCATTAGCCATCATTGTGCCGTAAGCATTTTGTTCATTAACTCGATATAACAGGATACCAGTTACACTTTCTTTTAAAAAAAAGTGCACTGTGATAAATGTGTAAAAGGCCGTAACATTTGTCTGGTAAACTTTGCATTCTTACTCTGTTTGAAGTTTGCTGTGTTCGCTGTGAGAAAGCCTTTTTTTTATCAAAGAAAGAAATTTTAGGCCATACTTGTCAGGTATTTCAGATCTTTACAAAAGTATCTCAAGAACCTTGTGGTTTTCAGAGGGCAGAATTAGTTAACTGTACAGATGTTGAGATTTGTGGAAACAAATTTGAGGGTTGATGAGGTTGGAGGGGACATTCGTGAATAGTTTGTTTCATTTTTGCTTCCAGATATTGCATCGCTGTCGGGCTGGGCCATGTGTCGGCCGGTTTCCCTTACATCAGGTATGTCAGGCATGCAGCTTTTCCTCTGATTGGCTGTTACGTAGGCCAAACAAAAAAAGTCTCCGGTTTCTGGTATGCACGCGCGTCGCCGTAGCTATGCGCGTCGGCAAAATGAACAAGTTTTTTTTTCAATGAAAGATGATGTCTCAAAACCGCCAGACTCACTGGTTTGACTGGAATCCTGCTGCTGCACAATTTTAACGTGTTTTCGGATGGGGTTATGATCGAGAAGAAGCTTTATGTGGCCTCTCTGGACTCCCATATATTTGCACTAAGTTTAGGCCAAAAAAAAAAATAAGTCGGTCTCTGGTCAGCGCGCGCGTCGATTTTAAGCATGCGCGTCGATCTTTTTTTTTCTCCAAAATGTTCCGTGGTAGCTCCAACAGCGCCCTCTATTTCCGCACCTCAATTTTTTTTACCAAAGAGCACCAAGGAATGGGAAATTGCACCAAGGCCAATGATCGAAAGCACCAAGGCAAATTATGGAGGCCACCAATGTACATGAGGACACCAAAAAAAGCAAAATAGTACCCACCGTGTCTGTACAATCCAAGCTGAAAAAAAAAAAAGCCGTGTGGCCGCGTCAATTCCGGAACTTTGGTCTGACCAGAGACCGAATATTTTTTTTTTTTGCCTTAGTCGGGCACCATTTACAGTCATCAGCCGACATTTGAGGCAAAAAAAATCAGGTAAAAAAAAAAAACAGCTGCGTCGCCGCACCACTTTTTGGGCAAGCTCCATACCAGAAACCGGAGAAATTTTTTTTTGGGCCTTATCCTTGTTTTTTCTTTACTCTTCACGAATGCCACTACAAATTAAAAAACACTATTCAAAGTCTTGTGTTGTCTGGAATTTCCTCGTTTTTTCTAGATTCCCAGTTGCATGACTGATATGTTCGACAAGCAGGAAGTCGAATTGTTCTACTTCCTATTTTCCCTTTGTTTCCCATGTTGCGATAGGGATACATGTTTGTATTTTTTCCTGTATTAGAGTTTCTCCAGTGTTCTATTTTAAGGGTCTACTTAGGGCCCATTTCAATTCATATTCCAGGACGAGTTCTGGACAAGTTGCGGGTAGAATCATTCACTTCGTCTGGAAAAAGCTCTGCATTTGTCCCAGACATGTTCGGAGGATATTTTCATTAGCAACTGCTTGACTCACCAATACTGATAACTTCACAACGGGAAGATTGCAGGGAAGTTGTTCAGAATCCTGCAACGTATACAATGTCTGCAACTTGGGGGGGGGGGGGGGTGGGGGGGCTCAAGCTCCTGAGCCCCCAAGAAATCGGCCCCTTTAAAGATTTTACAGTGCCGGCCATTGTGTTCCTGTACATCGTTGTTATGTATGTTTTTCTATCAAATTGTATTATAGTGACACAGGGACAGAGCCACCAGAAAGCTGTATATTCGGGCAACTTCTCAACATTGCAAGTGCACTAGGTAAACATTTTTGCAATTTTAATGCCCGTCCTCATATTGGTTGCGGTACTCACTGCTATATCAGATTTAAACCGTCCATTGGCAAGCTCGGTGGTCGAGTGGTAAGACGTCTGTAAGCAGGAGGTCATGGGTTCAACTCCCAACCGAGTCGCCCCATGAGTTTTTTTTCTTGAAAGCTTGCAGAGAGCCCCAAGTATGCCGGTGAAAGGCAAAATCCAGAATTAAAACAAAAAAATGAAAATTTCACCAAACATTTTAGGGCGACTGAATTTCAGTTTCAAACATATCTGTTTCCAATTCAGGAAATCTTAAATTTGCATTTGAAAATCTGTACAAAATTGCTTTTCATGAGGTGTATTTCGTTAATTCTGTTTTGCAGTAAAGTGGGAAAGTGGTCCTAAATTAATTTTGTTTATGAAGATCCATTTTGTCATTGAAATTCTTGTAGCCTTTGCCACCATCTACGTCCGCTATAAGCAAGTTGCGGAGTACTACCGTGAGGTGCCAGAGGGTGTCTTCAAGTGCAACAAGGCTGCCCTGGTCCTGGGTTCGCTTGCCGCCCTAGGGATGAGCTTAGTTGCCAACTTCCAGGTAAGTCAGTTCGGGGCACAGTAAGCAGCAGGTCGTGGGTTCGAATCCAACTCAATCAATCTTGTAAGTTTTTGTCATGGACGCTCCCGGTCCGTACATTATTAATACTGATTGTGGGTGCGGGAACCGGCCTACCCTGTGGAATTATTGACAGGTCACAAATTATTCCAAATTAACCTTCAAAATCCTCTTTGCCAAAGTGGAGGAATTTGAAGGATCGAGGCTACATGGCAAAAATGCGTGATTGATTTCGTAGGATGCACTTTGTCAAGGTCTTGGGCCGGCCTTGTGTTGCTTTTGCTCAGCCATGCATAAATATAGACCTGGATCCTCCGTACTGCTCCAGGATGTCACCGGCCAAGCTTCAACGTTCAGTGCGTTCGATTACTTCCCCCGCGCTTACTCGTGCAAGCGCGACAGCGTCACTGTCGCTGGAACAAACTTTTGTTGGGGGGTGCTGGAATTTCTAAAGGACGGACAAAATTAATGCAAAAGCGGAGCGCAAAGCCCTTACGTCGTGGCTTTATTTTGAATATGGATGCTAGGCCTATGTGGTGCAATCTGAGGCGCTTCCTGGCCACTGTCATTTGACTTTTTTTAGCAAAAGTGTTTTGAGATTATAAAGACAATTTATTTCATTATTTTGTTTAGAATATTATACTGTTGCTCTTAAAACGTTTAACTGTACTGAAAAGTGGAGAACCCTGTATGTTTATGTCCATATTTGGTTCCATTTAATTCTAGAAAAGAATTGTATCATTATGCATGACATCCCATGTAAATATTATTGTTGCAAGGCTCCTTTCTTACATTTGGTAATTACCTTCGTGGATGTTTTGTTTTATTTTCTGAGCCCTTACGTTGTGGGGCCACAGGGCCAGGGGCCCGCTTTAAGGCCCCAGAAAATGTTGGATTCTGGATGCACTGTGATGAAATATACTGAAGTATACTGAAACTTATAAAACCCGAAAGGATTTTTTTGGTTCAAGTTAAAACAATGGTTCCACTGGAAGCAGATGATTTTCTGTTCATAAATATATTCACATAGTTCTAACTGACCAAACGATGTAGCTCTCGATATATTTGCACTGTTTATTTGTTTGTTACAGGGAATGGCAAATATAAAAGACTAAAAGACCAAATGTATCTTTATGTTTATGATCGGTAGATGGCAAGTTTGGGGCTATAGGCAAAGATTTATCGGTCTACTGAGTTTTTATGAGGAAAAACTTGTAGAGGGTAAAACATGAATAGCTTTTTTATTAAAACGAAACTACATGTACACTGAAATTGGCGTAATGCATGACTAGTTTCAATGAAAGCCCATCCCACTCCTAGGTTGGGGATGTGTATGAACATTGCTATTTGTTAATGTTGAGTACAGAATGCTAGCAACGTCAATGAAACTTTTAAATGAAAAAAAAATCCATCAGGGAAAAGGTATGAACATTTGCCCCTATTGAAAGATCGAATGAAAAAAATCCTGGCAAGCATAATCAACTTTGCCACCATTGTCATGGCTGAGGTTATGGCTTTCGGGTCAAACTTCCATAATGGCGGAAATATCTTAGACATGTCATGATTTTTGATACCTTGAGAGAAATATCGATTCTGCACTGCCTGAAGATTTAGAAAATACCTCCTCTTGATATTTTATTCCCCCCCCCCCCCCCCGGAAAAGAAAAAACAAAAACAAAAAAAAACAAAGGCAGAAAAAAAAAGAAAAAAGGAAAGGAAAAGAGGCCAGAAGTCATATAGGTGGAAATTTCATTGGTTGGGGCAAATGTCCCTGTCCCCCTCTAAAACTGATAAATCGAGAATATGTTGAGAAGTACAGGAATGTTTTGGCAAAATATGTTTTGCCCTACTCTAGTAAAAATCCTGGTGTCGCCCATGTTTCCAGCTCTTGCACGAAACTTTACCCAAAACCGTTCGTTTATATAGCTCCACTGCACATGTCTGTCATCACACGAGGGGCCACGCGCAAGTAAGCTGGGGGAAGTAATCAAACACACTCATATTGACAGTCACTGCCGTAGGAATTTGCAGGATTGAGGCTACATCCTAGCAAACAGGGCCAGGGAGTGAGGTTAATGTATGGAATGCATTTTTAATGTATAGAACGTGCAAAATGTTGCTTTAAAGCGGCACACGTGTTGTTGCCTACCCGGTATGTCCACCTTGGGTTAAATGGATCCATCTTTTGTAGTCAATAATACATAAAAAACTTAACAGCATTCTAACAAGTATTCCTTCTGAATTGCATTCCGTAGGAAACAAACATGATCGTCTTTCATGTGATCGGAGCCATGATGTGTTTCGGCCTGGGTTTTATCTACGGCTTACTCATGAGTTGGATCTCGTACAAGCTGTCACCGCAGCACTGTACCGTGGCCATGTACCGGGCGCGTCTAGCTCTGTCCCTAGTGGCGATGTTGTGCCTTGTCACAAGTATCCTTTTTAGTATTAATCCGCCCTGTTCACTATACCCCCTCACCGGCAAAGAGAGTACAGTTGGGGGTGACCAAACAATGCCATTTTGCCTGACTGCAATTTATTTGCCGCGAAGCGCGGCCACTGCGTGTACACAGTACAAATCCCCTGATGTACGTGCCTCAACCAGCGAACTGTCCCGCCCATGGGACGTCGTTGCAAGGTAAAAGGGCACCCTCTTTCATCGGCGCACGGAGCCTTTAATAGAGATATGTTGTAGGTCGACTTCATACGCAAACTAATGAGGACGCTCTTTTCTTCTCCATTGCGCTGTTTATAATTATTATTAGAGAGTTTTTGCATCCAAACGGATATATGTACGCGTAGGTTTAGCTATACGTTAACCGGTATCGACCGTTTCATTGTTTCACATCGTGTCTGTGAACGCATATATGCTAAGTTATCGGAACCAAAGCAATAATCCAAAATGGCGGCCTCCGATGAAAGCCTCGTGGCTGCGGCTAATCTTCCTTTGAAACACAGAGAAATCGCACATGTGTGTTCAGCAATTCATCCTCTTCCAATCAAATCACACATGATTAAATAAGTTATCAGAAAATAGAGTGAAAATCCACAATTTACTATGCGTTTCACACTGACACTTAGCGCGCGATATAGCTGTGCCGTGTACACGCGTAGCGGATAGTGTTACGTATGACGTCACAAGACCACACAAACTGATGATCTATCCAGCGGGCTAACCGTAACCGTAAACTTCTGTATTAAGCCGGTTCATACTTCACGCGAATGCGAATGCGAAGCGAATTTGACGTCAAGAAGCATTCGCTGCGAAATTCGCCCGAGTTGAAATATGTTCAACTTTTACGAACTCGCAGCGCGAATACTTGCCATGACGTCACAAATTCGCGTTCGCTTTCGCTTTCGCGCCGAGTATGAATCGGGCTTTATAACAATTATTTCCCTGCTTATCAACAGGCTATGAAATATTTTATGTGCAGCAGTTCAAGATCAGTGCAATCTGTTCATTTCCCTCATCACAGGTACTCATTTATATTCCTGGGTGGAGAGAGGCAATTGTAGTAAAGTGCCTTGCTTAAGAGCATCGGAACCATGAGCCCCGTCTTCATTTTGGAATCAGTGTACATATACCTGTGTGAAGTTGTGATACAAGTTCAAAATGGCCGAAATTCACACTGAAATGATTCCTTAAGTTGCTTCTTTTCAGCCTTGCTATTTGGTGGTTTGGCAAATTCACAATGGAAGGGGGAAGATCTTCGAAAATGGCTTCCAGAAGATGGGGTAAGTGCAAGTGTTGCTTCAGACTCCAATCAGTGATATAAATTCCCGTCTGTGACTCAAGACTCTAGTCTGTGACTCATTACTTCAGTGTGACTTCAGATTGTCGAGACTCCAGTCTGTGACTGGAGACTCCGGTCTGTGACTCAAGACTCCAGTATGTGACTCCAGTCTGTGACTCGAGACTTGAGTTTGTGACTCAAGACTTGAGTTTGTGACTCAAGACTTCACTTATGACTCAAGACTCAAGTCTGTAACTCCAAAATCCAGTCTGTGACTCGAGACTCCAGTCTGTGACTCGAGACTCCAGTCTGTGACTCGAGACTCCAGTCATGACTCAAGACTGAAGTCTGTTACTTTTAAATCTAGTCTATGACTCGAGACTTCAGTCTGTGATCAAAGACTCCATTCAGTGACTCAAGACTGCAGTCTGTGGCTCGGTACCCCAGTCTTAGACTCAAGACTCCAGTCTGTGACTCGAGACTCCATCAGTGAGTCAAGACTCCAGTCTGTGACTCAACACTCCAGCCTGTGACTCGAGACTTCAGTCTGCGACTCGTGTCTGGTACACAAGATTTCAGTCAGTTACTCAGGTCTTATCAGTCTGGATTGTATCCACGACTGGAACTAAGAAAGACAGTGTGACAGAGCCATTTTTTAAACCTCGGCTTCAGATTGACTCTGTCTCAAGCACCACCCTTCACTTCGCACCTTGAACAATCTAAAGACTTACAAACTTGAAGAATGGGTCTGTCAATGTCTATGTTTTTTAGTCCTCAAGCTAAAGTCTGAAGCTGATGCCAGTTTGCCAAGATCTGAAAAATGGTCCAAAGTCCTCAATGTACTTACTAAATGTATTTTTCAAATGAACCACAAAGGGAAAGTGACTGATTTGTTGTTTTTTCAACCTTGTTTCCAGGGATTTGGGCTGCACGTGGCAAGCACAGTCTCCGAATGGATCATGGCTATCGCCTTCCTCTTCTATTTCTTCAGCTACATCAAAGATTTCCAGAAGGTCGAGCTGGCTGCTGAGGTCAGGCGGTGTCAAAGGTTACTAAATGTGACCTGTGACCCAAATGCATAATCAGAGAGATTAAGAGCGTTTTACAAAACCCGACTTCAACTCCAGCTTTGGTTTAAGCAGAGAGTTGTCCCCTGACTTTTGGGTGACACCAGCTTCAATACAGGTCCATGTTTTTTAATAAAAATATAAAATTCTGTAATGTAAAATAAGGTTGAAGAGGGTTTAAATTTTGTTGAAATGTTTCAGACTTCTAAACGACTCTGGAGCCAGCAATGAAGGCAAAGCTGGGGACAAATCCAGAGTTTAAGAAATGGCTTATGTAGATCATACAGGTCAAGGGACCTAAGGTTTAATCATTGCTCCCATGTTTGTGCGAGGATGAAGTTTGCATAAAATTGATGCATTCTCAGAGGTCAAGGTTCATGCATCCTCACATAATGAGTTGGAGATCGAACAGTTTAATCATAGCAAACATTCTTTCAAATTTGGAGTGCTCAATTTGAAGACATCGTTATTAATCATGAGGTCACACGGCTTGATCAATCACAAGCAATGGTTAAAACTTAAATTTTGAACATAGTTTGAATGCATAATTAATCAGAAGTCACAAATTGAGTTGTTTGTTTGCTATTGAAATATAAGCTCTTGCTGTAGTTACAAAATGGACATATTGCATGAATTATTTTTTGGTTTAGATGGGGGGGGGGGGGGGCAGGCCCGTCGCCAAGGGGGGGGGACCTGGTGGGGCCGGCCCCCCCCCTTGGTGAGCAATTGGGCGCCCCCCCCCCAACTGCAAAAGCCATACATGTGTATTTTTATGGTAGTGGGCCCCCTAGTTGGTACTATCCCCCCCCCCCCCGCCCCGCGCGACGCTCAGGGCTTGCGACGGTCCGGGGGGGGGGGGGGGGGGTCCCATTAGCTGCCAAGAGATGGTTTAGTGGGCATTTGCTGTGATTATCTATACGATTTTCCTAATATTTTGCGGCCCTAGAGGGGGGTAGATTTGCCACTGCAGCAGATAGAGCTAGCACAACAGCATGAATAGGAACAAAGCCTTGATATGTGTTGCATGTATGGTCGGTCTGAATACTACACATAATTTACGGTCTACATTTGCATAGTGTTGCACTGCATATTTCAAATACATTTATATAGCCCAAATCCGTTTATATTTAATGCTCCCAGTCGCTTTACAGATATGATACAATAATTGAAAGGAATATTAACACATACTTTTTCAGATAAAGTTAAAGAGAAAATATGTGGGAGTTGAGGGAAAAATAGGAACCAAGCAAAATATAGTAAGCAAGTCACTAAAAGCAGAAAATTGGGGGTGTTAAAAAAAAACAGAACAAAAATACAATACAAAACAGCACAACAATAAATATAAATATCCAGGGCCTGCGAGGAATATGGAAAATTATGAAATAAACAAAGAAAATAACAGTCCTAATTCTTGTGCTTGTATTTCATGTGATTAAATGTTTACCAAACATTTTGGTAGGTTCACTCTATCGACCACAAATTATATGCATATGAAATTACTCATAATGATAAGTAAAGTAAGAGTGTATATCAAATTGGTATGCAGGCTGCATTATCGTGTCTTAAATTTATTGTTTTAGCTGCACAAAGCAGTACTGTGAATAGTTTTGAAATTTCGATTATATCTTGTAGAATTGATCCTTGTTTTGACATGTTTGGAGACAAATAATAAGGCCAAAAAAAAAAAAATAATTCTGCTTCCGGTTTCTCTACCTACCCTATTCTGACAGCCCCTACCCTAATTTTGTTACATGGGAAAAATTAGAAAAAATATCCTTGACTACATGCAGACGCCTCCATATGATAGTACACACGCACAAATTGCCTCCCCCCCAAAAAAAATTCCCTACCTACCTACCCTATTTTTGAATGTACACGTAATCGGAAGCAGAACTATTTGGGTTTTTTTTGGGCCTTGTGTTCCAGAATCAGACTCTTGACACGTGGTTTCTGTATATTGACAAAAATGCTTGTTTTTATTTATATGATCAAAGATAAGAAGAGTGTTCTTTATTCAGATGATTTTAATTTTGTAAAATGTAGGGCCTATAATTAAAATGTCAAAAATTCACTGAAAATGGTAAATAATCTTTAGACTTAACATAGCTTAACCTAATTGATATGAAAAATCGTCCAAGGTTACACGAGATATTTGAAGTTAAAATGTGGAAGACTGCATATAAAAAGAGAAATACATTTTTATTACTTTAATAATTGTGGTGATTTGTACTAATTATAAGTTGTTGGAATAGCCGGGGTCATTATAACCGCTAAGAACAGATAATTGGCATAGAATATCGCCTAGCAAAAACAGGTTACCAACCAACATGCCAATGGGATTTATATTGCTTGTAACTGGTTCCCAGCGAAATTTTACTCACAGTACACAAAATGCTAAGCTATATACTTTCTGCTTTTAATAGATCAACTGCTTTGGGACCGAGAGCAGTGGCGTAAATCTAGATCTGTGCCGGGGATGGGGGACGATCAAAATCCTAAAATTGCCCGGCCGTGGAAATTTGAAAGGGGGGGGGGGGGTCTCTTCAGACTTCAGGATATATGATCAATATTTATGCTCGCGCTTACATCAAAACGGCGCATTTTAAATGCTTTTGTACTTTGTTTTTCCACTTTTGTAAAGTGGGGGGGGGGGGGGGGAATTCAATAGCCCACCCCCTTTAGTCAAAAAGTGTGTGGGGGCGGGTCTGGGGATGTACCCCATCCTCCCGAGAGTGTTTAGTTCCGACCTGGTTTACCGCACTTTATTGCATTAACATGTGACCATGGACAAACCCAGGCGCGGTTCTACGGGGCTAGGGGGGCTTTAGCCCCCCCCCCCCCAAAAAAATTTTCGTAAAAAGAAATTGCATTAGCAAAAAGAAGGATTGTGATGTACATGATTGTGATGTACATGTACATTTTGTACATGCGAACGGTCTCCCCCTAAAGAAATAGTCGTGACAAGGGTGCATTTGTAGTTAATATAGTGTGAATGATTTTAGGATTTTATTGGCGCTCCCCATTTAAAATATGGCATGAGCCCCCCCCCCCCCACACACACACACACACACCCAAGTTTACGTTACATACCAAGTGTGGACTTTCAATTGCTTTCGTGTAGTTAAGAAAAACCAGTGAAAAAACTCATTTTAGTGTTTCTCTTCATTCTGCTACAGATAAACCTAACCCAAAAATGCCTCTAAACCTGTTTTCAAGAAATGGGGAAACACTGTGTGGACTTGCCCAAGTCCGCACAGTGTCTCCTCTACCTGGTTTATGTGGACATCTTTTGTTCGGAAGTCCACACAGTGAATGTAATGCCTGTACACACACACACACACCCACACACCCACCTATTGATTTTCGGAGTCCTAAGTGTCTGGAGAAAATAACCGGTCTACATAATTCAGCACGCCTCCCTGAAAAAAATCTGGATCCACTCTGCTAGCCCCCCCCCCCGAAAAAAAAATATTGGTTCTAGAACCGCGCCTGGACAAACCATGAATTGTCATCGCACAATGCTAATCCCCGATTGCGACAAACTTTCTGAACAATAGTGTTCAGGTTATGGCCTTGGCACGGCATCGCCCCGGATCGCAAAAGTACTGTTGTGTGATCATCGAAGCGGCGTATCGATGACGAAACACAAACTCTGTGTTTATTCCCCTATGGTATAACGAAAGTGATTCATCTGGGAAGCCTTCCGTGTAAATATTGGCTAAAACTAAAGCCAACAAGACATTTGTCATGTTATATATCATATCGTTTAATTGTGTAATGTTCTAACGTTCTTGCTATATACATGGTTGCACTGGAAATATAAGCCACGTAGTTCAACGATCTGTACTTATACTAGGATCAGGAATCAAGTCGAAGGACGGACTGACTTTCACCGGGTGATCGCCATGTTTATACCGGGGCTAAGGAGCTTTCCGTACGGCTGCCTGCCGTTGGCGGCCGGTGGTTGCTTGCTGGTTGGTTTAGTGGTTCCGTAAGTTGTGGTCTTTTGATTTTCTTTTTCTTTCAACCATTTTCATATCTGGCTTAATGGTGTATATACACTACAGATGGGGGAGCATTCATCTTGACCATGTTGACAGTACATTCAAGAAAAAGGCATGCATCAGTAGGGGTAGAGTAATTACACTATTCGGATCATGTACATGTACGTACATGTACATGTACGTACATGTACGCCATGGAGCTATAAACACAGTTCATGAAGCTACAGCTGCGAAGGTCATATCTGGCACGAAAATTAAATTAAACTTTGTTAGTAGCAAGGTCATTTTGATAGGGGGGGGGGGTTTAAAAGTTCGTGAAAAGGGCACATCACAAAGCCAAATTATGTAGACCTGGTTTTTTTTCTCGGGACACTTGGCCTCCATAAAATCAAAAAGTGGGTGGGGGCATATGGTGTGGGTACGGTGTGTACCATCTTCTAACGGGCCGCTGTTCAAACCGGACGATCATGCATCACACTATCGTATATATCGGGCAATATAGATGGCGCTTTTTCAGGGCGGCACAATTGCCCTGCGACGGATGATCGACGGTCGCCCGAAATTTCAAATGTTAAAAAAAAGAGGCACTTTTGTAAAAAACACACACCATATTTACAAATATTGGGGGGGGGGGGGGGTTAAACGCTGGTGGAAAAGGGCACTTCAATATGTAGAAAAGGGCACTCAAAATATTGTGTGTGTGTGTTGGGGGGGGGGGCGGGGGTAAATACACCCCTCCCCCTCCCCCCCCCCCCACCCCAGCCCAGGCTACGCTTCGCCTCTGTAATAAAGAAGTTCGACGACTCCCAAGAAGTGGCATACCGTTTAACAGTTAATTGTATAAATTGTATTTTTCGCCCGGCGGTGACCGCCTGCCGGGTGTTGCCTTTTCCCGATGCTATAACGGGCATTTTTGGTTTCATTATTTCGATAGAAAATGTGATGTACAGTATAGGTTTTTTATTTTCTTGCAGGTACATTATTGCAGTGCGTTTGGGCCATGTTTACCCGATTTTGCCGTTTATTAGGTAAGGTTCATAATCATAATGCATCCCCCTTTTTTTTTCTTTTTTTTTTAAATATCATCTACAATCTCAAGAACGGTGGCCTTTGCCCTTATAGTTCCATTTTTCTTTCCAAAATGTGCAAAACAGGTTGAGTAGACCATTTTGCAATGTGTGCATTTTCCCCGTCGATCGAACCAACAATAATTTGCTCAACTAATATGTAATCACTCACTTGAAGCTCGTGCAGTCAGATCCGGCATGGCCGTGGAGGTGACACTTTTCACCCCAGTAACGTATGTGACCACATGCCATTAAGTTAATTACTGGCGTTGGCCCAAAAGGCCTTATTGACGAGTTTCACATTTTTGGCGAGTTCCCTGAACGTATTTCATTAAGTGTTAACTGTTCAATGGGATGGCGCCAGACTATTTATGCAGGCACAGAGCATCCTTAGTTAATACTGTCCTTTTTTATCTGGCTTTAAACATTTATATGGAATTTTTTTATTACAATTTTAACATTATTCTTTGAAGCAGACTGAAATAAATTAGGAATTAACTTGCTTTCATTTCTCTTCGCAATTTCCAAAAATTAAGATTTTACCTCGCTTTCAATTCAATATGGCCGACTCGTGAATACTGAGGCCCATGGGTCCTTAGCTTATGGCCCAATAAACGCGCGCCCACTTCTTCCCCGCCGGTGTTTCCCGCCGGATCGATGACAGTGGATTGAAACGGTAAGTCTGGCGGAGGCAGCGGCAGGGCCAGCTAGAATCCACTGGCTTGCGAACACGACGCTGCTATTGGTTGTAAGGACGATGCAGGGGTTGTTGGTGCGTTGGCGGGTGTTTATTTCAGATGAAGATGGCTTGCCTATGTAAAATGTGGGTGTCTTTCTATCACCTCCGTGGTGTGGTCTTCAACAATACACTTTTTTTGTATTTCAGCGATACAGGCGCACTCCATCCCGAAAACTGTGTATTTGGCCAGATGCTGAACCTGACCAGTTTCTTTCGTAAGTTACCTTATGACTTAAACAGCTCAATTTGATTCCTGTTACAATGCGTTGGCAGACCTTATGGGCGTTAAATTTGGTTCCCGTTGAAAATGTGTTCGTAGGCCACTAAAGATTGGACCATACAGTCTCAATGTTCTACCGTCACAGATGCCATCATCATCATATTGGACCACAGCTTCGCATGTTCTGAAGGAATCTTCCGTGCGCACTCGGCATGGTGACTTTAGAACGATTTACCGTCTTACAATGTCTAGCGATAGCTGCCTATATTTTTTCACGTTGTTACTCGTGTAATGTTCCTTTTTCCATGCATCATGAACGTCAGAACGTGCTACATCTCTGTTGTTTACCAATGGAATTAAACACAATTTTCAGATCATGTATTAAACGTAAACAAGGCATCACAAATTTTATGGAGCGAGGTTCATCGGCTTTGTGCAAGAGGTTTTTAAACGTCATGTACCATGTTAATTAATTGGCATCCTCCAATTTCGATACAGCGCTGGAGACAGTGGCGGAAGGCGCGTGCTGCTGCCGAGAGTTTGAAGGAAAGCAGGATCACCCTAACGTCATGGCACACCTCCTCGATCGTTTGGCGCGACGCACGATCAAGGAGGTGTGCAATGACATCGGGGGTGATCCTGCATTCTTTCAGAAGTTTTCAGGCGCAGCACGTACGCGCCTTCCGCCACGTGCACCGTCTCCAGCGCTATGTCGACATTCTCAAAGCCTGTTTCGTATGGCGTTTGAATCTCACCCTCTTGCACAAATAAGCTTATGAAATTGAAACATGATCTGAAATGTTGATTTAATTGAATAAACAACATAGTTATTTATTGAGGAATGCAGGACATGGTTTTATTTGACACATAGTAGCATGCAACAAGGTCTGATTAATTTACGACATAGCACTACTTGGGGACATACTGCACTTCTTATATCTAGTTTAGAGAAGAAAATCATCTCAGTGAGCCTATTTCTTTGTGGCACGGGCCTGTACTATGTGCCCTTATAGTTGCTTGTCCCCAGGGATACGGACGAGCTATAATGCCATCATCAGTTTGATATAACTATCCGTTGCTGGGAGTGAGGTTGAGTCCCCTTTTCCTCCACGGATGCTCACCGAGACTTACGCCCCCTAATGCTTATCAGGTATTATTTTTTCATCCTTGCAACAGTTGTCTTCATAGTGTACATCCGGCATAAGCAAGTGACCCAGGAGGGACCCACTGAATTACTGGAATTCAACAAAGCGTCCACATTACTGGGCTACACGGCCGCGCTTTTCATTAGTTTAGTGGGCAATGTACAGATCGACGTGGTGAGTATTTATTTTGCCATGGCCTTTCTTAGCCACCGTTTTCTGCAGTGCGGCGTGCCCATTGATCGCGCTGTACACTTAAAGCCCTTTCAGAAATTAATGCGCCTGTACAAAACACTTGGACGAAGGTATGGCATCGCCGCGTCTCGTTCTATATCTGTGAATGTGAAGGTTACCTGACTGACAATCAATTACATGTAAAGACGTCAGGGGACCTTTACGTAAGAGAACCATGAGCCGGAAATGAAATTCTCTGAAAAAGAAGACTTTAATTAAACACGGCTTGACTAAATATAAACAAAATCACATAAAAGAGACGTTTCTTCAATGGGGTTCTATCGTACGGCATCAAAACACACACGACCGTTAAAATAAAGCCAAACAGATCACGTGATATATTATCTCAATCATATTGTGCACGCATGCGTATTATGGTACTTGACTATACCTGCCTGTAGAAGAAGAAGAAGAAGAAACAAGCAGGGGCGGCGGAACGCTTTTCAAACTGGGGGGCAACACTTGCTCAGAAAAAGGGGCACCTTCCGTCAGTGTGAAAGTGGAGGAAAAGAATATGGTCCCGTTCATTTCGCTATAAACCTATATGACAAGGAACAAATTATGAATACGTTGTTCATTTTGCTCTTTGTGTTTCTTTTACCTAGTTATGTAGAGAGACCTTTCTTTTATCGCTAGAGGGGCACCGTTGCTTTTGATGGCCAGTTCAGTGACCATTTTATTCGCGTGAAGAGCACTATTATTTTTAGGGGCCAGTTTTCAATCTTGAGAGGGGCACAATAATCGATCGTACCACCGTCTGACCTATCTGAATTTTTGACGAATTTGGGTTATTAGCATATTCTACCTATGCCTAATAAATTCTTTATTTTCTGAAAATTTCAAATTCATAAGTGGCCTAATTAGCTAATTAAGCTGATTCAGCTAATTAAACATGTTGACCTATCTCTACAAAATGCGAAATTATCATTTCACAAACTGGCACATCGAGATAGGTCACTTCGTGAAACGCGTAAACAATGCTGTCATGTTTTTACGAAGTGACTTATAGAGTATGGAACCTGGACTTTGTGTGGTACCTATCACTTTCATTTGGAATTTTACTAGGGACCAGTCTTTAGCGTTGTCAGAAACAATGGCGGCGTACACGTGTCGTTTTGGTGGCTGAACGAAAGCAAGTTTCATACATAATTATACAAATACATTTACAAGCCATTCGTTCAAGAATTAATAAAAAGTCAAAGAGTTAAAAAAATATATTCAACGAGTTTCTATGCATCCCGTATGGGAATTCATTTTCTAACGTCCTTCAGCTGTTACAGTGTTTTACGTTGTAAGAACTTATCAATCTCTAATAACAATAATATTAAAAGGACACTGGGTCCTAGAACAGCCCAATTGGGCTACAAAACGCGCTTTAAACGAAATGATGTTATTCTGAAAGAACATTTAAAAGTAGGATATAAACATCCACACAACTATCCTTTCAAAACTGGGCGTTTTTGTGTTATTTCTGTATTAAACGAATTTCGGGGTCCACTTTTGCGACCCCAAAAATTCGAGCTGTTTTGATGCTAGTTGTGATTTCAACCGTAAAGTGTCCGCCTTTTGCGGACGTGTAAAGAAACCATATTTCTCGAAATGACAAAAACTGAGATAGGTCAGATCGTGGTACGATCGACGAATTGTAATGTTGCGAGCGGGGCACTAATTGTGCTTTCGAGGGGCAGTTTTCCATCTCGAGAAGTTATCGCGAGAGGAGCACTATCGTTTTTGATGGCCAATTTTCCATCTTGAGAGGGGCACAATTTTATTTTGTGAGAGGGATATTTGTGCTTTCGAGGGGTAGTTTTCCATCTGGAGAAGGTGCACAATCATGTTAATGCGAGAGGGTTAGCCTACTTGTGTTTTTGAGGGGCAGTTTTATTTGTAGAGCGATCATATGCTTTCATACGTGTGCGTTTGAGGGGCAGTTTTGCTTTCATCTCGAAGGGGCACATTAATTTTTATTGGCCTGGGAAAATGGGGGGGGGGGGGGAATTGCCCCACCAGTTCCCCTCCCCCCCCCGGTTCCGCCGCCCCTGGAAAAAAGCTCGAATTGATCTCGGAAGTTGCGGCCCAACTGTAGCCCTACCGTAGCCTATAATGTTAGTCATGTGCATGATGTAAAAGTCCGTTCTTGTATAATGCACAACTATACTCACGTGGTCGTGACTGTCAATTGAAAAGTTTTCCCGTTATTTTGTTGAACGTCAGTTGGGGCATGGAGCGTTTTATAGCATGTGGAACGCCCAATTCGTGTGCAGTACAGTGCCAGCCCCAATGAGAAATGAGCCTGATCTCGTGACCCAATCCACGAAATTGGTAGCTGGTCAGTAGAGACCAGAAGCAAGTGGCATGGTTTTGCGAGGGCCTAAGGGACAAGGTGATTGATTGCCAAAAAAGGCATGTTCTGACATGTGTTACTAACCAACCAACCAATATGAACCAAGGGGGAAAGACAGGATGATTTCTTGAGCTGCTTTCCGCAGCTAAAAATCACATCGGTCACCCTTCTGGTTTTATTTCACCCCTTTTTGCAGAATTCCCAACATGCCATCGAGACGGAAGTTCACCTGTTTAGCGCATTTATGGCTTTCGGTGGTGGCTTGCTGTTCAGCTTGACACAGAGCTGGATAACCTACAAGCTGGCCGACGATTTCTGGTCTTATAGCATGGCTGCTCTTCGCTTCACTTTGACATTCGCGGGTGTTGTCTTCAGCGTCACTCGTATCCTTTGATAGGCATACTTAATTGTTGGTGCAGACCATTGCAGTGCTATGACGGATTCTAATAATGATAAATATTCCCACATAAAGAAACAAATCAGAACAAATACTCGGAATTCTCCCAGGTGTTCAAGATACACATCAAATAGGCCTGAGACGTATTGACGTCACGCTTTGTTTACATGTGCGCTTTCCTATGTAGTACAGATGGTCCCCACTTTATCTGGCGTCCCGACTTCGCTCACATAGGAAAGCGCATAATGTAAAAAAAGTCATTACGTCATTACGTCTCATGTCTAAAAAAGCTTGTTTTTATAGTTTTCTTCTTTTCAATCCAAAGATGATCACCCCTATAGAGTAAGTTTTTTTCAACCCAAATAGCCCATCAAAATTTTGAAGAAAAGAAAACACGATCCTGAAATTGTCGAAACTCCTTTGCAAAATAGAGCAATAGATCCAATTTTATCCCAAACTTTTCAGAGGTACAGATTCAAAGAGCGGTTCAGAGGAGTTCAGTGTTGTTGTTTTGGGGATTCTTTTTAAAAATGTTATACCGAAGGCTTGCTGGCCGGTTGGTAAATAATAACAATTAAAGTGTTCAAGTTCTCTGTGTGGCATTGTCCTTGACTATTTTGTTGCCTTTTGTCAGTTCTTGAATTTCGAGAACTAGCCAATGCGGAATTTAATGGAACATACGCCCAAACGCTGCACTGGAACCCACACGACGGGGTAGGTATATCGAAAAGTCATGTCGTGAAGAATAAAAAGATTGCAGAACAGAAAACTTACCTGTTTTGTTGTTGGGTTTTTTTTTTACGGTGAAGGCCTAGCTATCTCGGTTCCTGTCAACTTTTGAAGGTGTTTGCAGAGTTTATGTGACGTAGCCCTACTCAAGTACAAGTTATAGCTCAATTCAGCGGCCATTTTGAGCTGAACTTTAAGTCACATTCACGGCATGCCCAACACAAGGAATTACGTATAGTCAAAATGACGTTTGTCACGTAGTCGTCCACGTAAATGTGGAAAGTGCCACCCAGCGCAGCATTAGCTAAAACTGTTTTTGGATTTCATTTTTGGCCTTCTCTAATACCTCGACTTATAGATCTCTGATTCTGGGTATACCGGCTCAATACGAGTCTTACTATGCATTAATTGCTGAAAGACCTGGTTCTCAGGCCAGACTGAGCTGAAGTAGGGGACGCCCAGTTGTGAGAAACGGCCTTATTGTGTTTTTCTTTTATCAACCTCGATCGCAGGGCTATGTGAACCACGTCTACAGCTCGGTATCTGAATATATGATGGGCTTCATATTAACTGCATTGGTCCTGTCGTTGTACAAGGAGTTCAGCGCCATCAAACCACCGACTGGAGACAAGAATAACCCGGTGGCAAAGGTCGCCGCAAAGGGTGACATTGAGATTGCACGTGATTCTCTGGTGTCTTCTCTATAGTGGAGTTTTAGTACATTCTTGGTTTTATGATTTTTTTTTCTCCAAAAATGGATGGAGCTGTTTCAGCCTCAGGTGTGACACACCTCAGGTGTGTCAGGATTTTTCCGGATTAAATACTGTTTTGGTCATGATCTGCCTGATTTCAGGATTGTTTTTGTCAGGATTTTTTCCCCTCCGATTTCAGGGTTTAAGAATCCATTTTGTAATGTGGATTTCCTGAGGCTTTAGCGTAAAAGTATTTTTTACCTGTATGATAAGTATAAAAGATTATAGCACAAACGAAATTTGTATTATAAGGTGTGTCTTTGGCCCACAACTTACCATGGATCCTACGTTGCAATGGGGCGGGCCCGCGGGGACCTCAAACGCTTTGCCGGTTATTTCGTGGATTTGCATTTTCCCCAAATCCTACCCATGGAAGTGTCATAGGTTTTACTCAGTATTACCAACATTATTATGACTACAATAATATTCAGTTCTACATCATTTAAGTGTTATATGGTTTGTCTTCTTGTGATGATGACATTGTATAACTATTGAGTATACATATATATTTGACTTTTGTCTTTTGCTTGGATTTACCAGGTTTGGTCAGTTATGATTAAAGCTATAGTCCATCATTTGCAGCCATCCGAAAAAGTAACTGGCGTATTATTGTTGAAAAACATACTTGGTTGAAAGATAGTAAGTGGACTAAACTCCCTGTGAAATTAATCTTTCTGGCAAGCTATCATTTTGAAGTAATCAACGAAAGAAGGCCTTTCCAACGGTGCTTCTTAAGACGCCGTAGGAAAATTTAAATTAGTAGTTCGTTTTATTATTCAGCGCAGCACGCGCAAGCATTGGCATGACGCACAGGCGCGCGCAGTTGCTATAATTCGTCGGATCAGTGCGCGACATCGCGTATAGCTGCAATTCAAAACAATTCAAAACATGATTCAGCAACTTTTGATTTGAAATTGAGATCCTAGAATGCTGTTTTTCTCGGAATACACAGCTGAAGCTGAACTGAAACTTCATCAGGTTAGTTGTTCAGTATCCTTCATTAGATTTTGAACACTTTTGTTGCTTGAAACGAACAAAATGCACAAATTACAAATGATGGACTATATCTTTAAATCTTATAGTGGGCGCACGCGCACACAGGGTAATGCCGATCACAACTCCTCCAGTGAATGTATAACCACGCAAAGATAAATATATTTTGTTGATAATGGATGGAATTTTAATAATAATAATAATAATATGGTTAATATTGCTTCCTGTGTGTAAAAAGGTGTTTATACTTCTTTCGGTTCTGCTATGTGGCTTCGTTATTGGAGGTATTTGCGCCAAATTGGTTTGTGAGGCTGTTATTATGGTTACCATAGAACCGTTGCAGTGACAGTTTAGCGTGCTATACTTGTGTAAAAAGCAGATTTAACTTGTTCGGTGCAGGCTGCGAGAAGACACTCATGGACTTAATTATGGACCTTTTCACTAATAAATTCATAATTATGCACGCATGCGCATCAATGAGGCTGTGAAGAAGAACAAAAAACAGCCACGGTCATGGGCGTCGCCAGGATTATTTCCGGGGGGGGGGGGCAAAGCAAATTTTCCCCAAAATTCCATAAATTTTTCATATTCTCAATTTATCATTCTTCCAAGCGTGAGCAGGGAAGCATTCCCCCCCCCCCCATCAAATTAACAGCAATATGGCTTTGCACCTCTTTTTCCTTTTGTTTTGTTTTGTGTTTGTTCCCTCTTTTTTCGTTTTCCGGGGGGGGGGGGTGCTCCCTCCCGCGACGCCCATGGCCACGGTGGTGAAGCCAGGCGCGATTCAGCACCGCGATTCGGCCCGAAATTTGGTGGACGGGTATCCTGAAGCACGGTTGTAGTTTTTGACTGACTTTGCTCGCCTCGTGCGCACGGGACGAAAGCAATTGTTAAAGTTTTTATTCTGTACCCTAAAAACCCACATGGCCAGAAGTAATGACTATGACGACTTCAGGGGCTTTTCTTTAAAAGAAATAGAGCGCGACAAATCCTGGAGAAATTGAGAGAAAATGACCCGAGTATTAATTTGGACCCCTGTACATTTTCATTGGACCGCTTTCGCCTCTTGCCGCCGGGCCCATTTATGTGCATGCGTGCATAATTATGGAATTATTAATGGTCCATTACTGGATAGCAAATGCTCCGTGAATATTGCAAGTACCCCCTCAACGGTGACAGAGAGACTCGGCCCTTGCGCAGGACGTCACACTGCCGCTGGAACAAACTTTTGTCAGGGGGGTATATAGTACTGGAATTTATAAAGGACGGACAAAGTTAATACGAAAGCGGAGCGCAAAGCCCTTACGTCGTGGCTCTATTTGGAATATGGATGCTCTGTGGTGCAATCTGAGGCGATTCTTGGCCACTTTCATTTGACTTTTTTTAGCAAAAGTTGTTTGAGATTATAAAAACAATTAATTTTATTGAAGACTCCAGTCTGTGGCTCGAGACTCCAGTCTGTGACTCGAGACTCTATCAGTGAGTCCAGACTCCAGTCTGTGACTCGAGACTCCAGTCTGTGACTCGAGACTCCAGTCTGTGACTCGAGACTCCAGTCTGTGACTCGAGACTCTATCAGTGAGTCCAGACTCCAGTCTGTGACTTGAGACTCCAGTCTGTGGCTCGAGACTCCAGTCTGTGGCTCGAGACTCCAGTCTGTGACTCGAGACTCTATCAGTGAGTCCAGACTCCAGTCTGTGACTTGAGACTCCAGTCTGTGGCTCGAGACTCCAGTCTGTGGCTCGAGACTCCAGTCTGTGACTCGAGACTCTATCAGTGAGTCCAGACTCCAGTCTGTGACTTGAGACTCCAGTCTGTGACTCGAGACTCCAGTCTGTGACTAAAGACTCCAGTCTGTGACTTGAGACTCCAGTCTGTGACTCGAGACTCCAGTCTGTGACTTGAGACTCCAGTCTGTGACTTGAGACTCCAGTCTGTGACTCGAGACTCCAGTCTGTGACTCGAGACTCCAGTCTGTGACTTGAGACTCCAGTCTGTGACTCGAAACTCCAGTCTGTGGCTCGAGACTCCAGTCTGTGACTTGAGACTCCAGTCTGTGGCTCGAGACTCCAGTCTGTGACTCGAGACTCTATCAGTGAGTCCAGACTCCAGTCTGTGACTTGAGACTCCAGTCTGTGGCTCGAGACTCCAGTCTGTGGCTCGAGACTCCAGTCTGTGACTCGAGACTCTATCAGTGAGTCCAGACTCCAGTCTGTGACTTGAGACTCCAGTCTGTGACTCGAGACTCCAGTCTGTGACTCGAGACTCCAGTCTGTGACTTGAGACTCCAGTCTGTGACTCGAGACTCCAGTCTGTGACTCGAGACTCCAGTCTGTGGCTCAAGACTTCAGTCTGTGGCTCGAAACTCCAGTCTGTGACTCGAGACTCCAGTCTGTGACTCGAGACTCCAGTCTGTGACTCGAGACTCCAGTCTGTGACTCGAGACTCCAGTCTGTGACTCGAGACTCCAGTCTGTGACTCGAGACTCCAGTCTGTGGCTCGAGACTCCAGTCTGTGGCTCGAGACTCCAGTCTGTGACTCGAGACTCTATCAGTGAGTCCAGACTCCAGTCTGTGACTCAAGACTCCAGTCTGTGACTTGAGACTCCAGTCTGTGACTTGAGACTCCAGTGTGTGGCTCGAGACTCCAGTCTGTGGCGCGAGACTCCAGTCTGTGGCTCGAGACTCCAGTCTGTGACTCGAGACTCTATCAGTGAGTCCAGACTCCAGTCTGTGACTCAAGACTCCAGTCTGTGACTTGAGACCCAGTCTGTGACTTGAGACTCCAGTCTGTGGCTCGAGACTCCAGTCTGTGGCTCGAGACTCCAGTCTGTGACTTGAAACTCCAGTCTGTGACTTGAGACTCCAGTCTGTGACTCGAGACTCTATCAGTCTGTGACTTGAGACTCCAGTCTGTGACTCGAGACTCCAGTCTGTGGCTCGAGACTCCAGTCTGTGACTCGAGACTCTATCAGTGAGTCCAGACTCCAGTCTGTGACTTGAGACTCCAGTCTGTGGCTCGAGACTCCAGTCTGTGGCTCGAGACTCCAGTCTGTGACTTGAGACTCCAGTCTCTGACTTGAGACTCCAGTCTGTGACTCGAGACTCCAGTCTGTGACTCGAGACTCCAGTCTGTGACTCGAGACTCCAGTCTGTGACTCGAGACTCCAGTCTGTGGCTCGAGACTCCAGTCTGTGGCTCGAGACTCCAGTCTGTGACTCGAGACTCTATCAGTGAGTCCAGACTCCAGTCTGTGACTCAAGACTCCAGTCTGTGACTTGAGACTCCAGTCTGTGACTTGAGACTCCAGTCTGTGACTCGAGACTCCAGTCTGTGGCTCGAGACTCCAGTCTGTGACTCGAGACTCTATCAGTGAGTCCAGACTCCAGTCTGTGACTTGAGACTCCAGTCTGTGGCTCGAGACTCCAGTCTGTGGCTCGAGACTCCAGTCTGTGACTCGAGACTCTATCAGTGAGTCCAGACTCCAGTCTGTGACTTGAGACTCCAGTCTGTGACTCGAGACTCCAGTCTGTGACTCAAGACTCCAGTCTGTGACTTGAGACTCCAGTCTGTGACTTGAGACTCCAGTCTGTGACTTGAGACTCCAGTCTGTGACTTGAGACTCCAGTCTGTGACTCGAGACTCCAGTCTGTGACTCGAGACTCCAGTCTGTGACTCGAAACTCCAGTCTGTGACTCGAGACTCCAGTCTGTGACTCGAGACTCCAGGCTGTGACTCGAGACTCCAGTCTGTGACTCGAGACTCTATCAGTGAGTCCAGACTCCAGTCTGTGACTTGAGACTCCAGTCTGTGGCTCGAGACTCCAGTCTGTGGCTCGAGACTCCAGTCTGTGACTCGAGACTCTATCAGTGAGTCCAGACTCCAGTCTGTGACTTGAGACTCCAGTCTGTGACTTGAGACTCCAGTCTGTGACTCGCGACTCCAGTCTGTGACTCGAGACTCCAGGCTGTGACTCGAGACTCCAGTCTGTGACTCGAGACTCTATCAGTGAGTCCAGACTCCAGTCTGTGACTTGAGACTCCAGTCTGTGACTCGAGACTCCAGTCTGTGACTCAAGACTCCAGTCTGTGACTTGAGACTCCAGTCTGTGACTTGAGACTCCTGTCAGTGACTCGAGACTCCAGTCTGTGACTCGAGACTCCATTCTGTGACTCGAGACTCCAGTCTGTGACTCGAGACTCCAGTCTGTGACTCGAGACTCCAGTCTGTGACTCGAGACTCCAGTCTGTGACTCGAGACTCCAGGCTGTGACTCGAGACTCCAGTCTGTGACTCGAGACTCCAGTCTGTGACTCGAGACTCCAGTCTGTGACTCGAAACTCCAGTCTGTGACTCGAGACTCCAGTCTGTGGCTCGAGACTCCAGTCTGTGACTCGAGACTCTATCAGCGAGTCCAGACTCCAGTCTGTGACTTGAGACTCCAGTCTGTGGCTCGAGACTCCAGTCTGTGGCTCGAGACTCCAGTCTGTGACTCGAGACTCTATCAGTGAGTCCAGACTCCAGTCTGTGACTTGAGACTCCAGTCTGTGACTCGAGACTCCAGTCTGTGACTCAAGACTCCAGTCTGTGACTTGAGACTCCAGTCTGTGACTTGAGACTCCAGTCTGTGACTTGAGACTCCAGTCTGTGACTCGAGACTCCAGTCTGTGACTCGAGACTCCAGTCTGTGACTCGAGACTCCAGTCTGTGACTTGAGACTCCAGTCTGTGACTCGAAACTCCAGTCTGTGACTCGAGACTCCAGTCTATGACTCGAGACTCCAGGCTGTGACTCGAGACTCCAGTCTGTGGCTCGAGACTCCAGTCTGTGACTCGAGACTCTTTCAGTGAGTCCAGACTCCAGTCTGTGACTTGAGACTCCAGTCTGTGACTCGAGACTCCAGTCTGTGGCTCGAGACTCCAGTCTGTGACTCGAGACTCTATCAGTGAGTCCAGACTCCAGTATGTGACTTGAGACTCCAGTCTGTGACTTGAGACTCCAGTCTGTGACTCAAGACTCCAGTCTGTGACTCGAGACTCCAGTCTGTCACTCGAGACTCCATCAGTGAGTCCAGACTCCAGTCTGTGACTCGAGACTCCAGGCTGTGACTCGAGACTCCAGTCTGTGGCTCGAGACTCCAGTCTGTGACTCGAGACTCTATCAGTGAGTCCAGACTCCAGTCTGTGACTTGAGACTCCAGTCTGTGACTTGAGACTCCAGTCTGTGACTCGAGACTCCAGTCTGTGACTCGAGACTCCAGTCTGTGACTCGAGACTCCAGTCTGTGACTCGAGACTCCAGTCTGTGACTCGAGACTCCAGGCTGTGACTCGAGACTCCAGTCTGTGACTCGAGACTCCAGTCTGTGACTTGAGACTCCAGTCTGTGACTCGAAACTCCAGTCTGTGACTCGAGACTCCAGTCTGTGACTCGAGACTCCAGTCTGTGACTCGAGACTCCAGTCTGTGACTTGAGACTCCAGTCTGTGACTCGAAACTCCAGTCTGTGACTCGAGACTCCAGTCTGTGACTTGAGACTCCAGGCTGTGACTCGAGACTCCAGTCTGTGACTCGAGACTCCAGTCTGTGACTTGAGACTCCAGTCTGTGACTCGAAACTCCAGTCTGTGACTCGAGACTACAGTCTGTGTCTCAGGTCTGTGACACAAGGAGTGCGTTCGATTACTTCCCCCAGTTTAGTCACGCCTGCTCCTCGCATGATGACAGTGGAGCTAGATAAACGAACGGTTTCGGGTAAAGTTTTTGTGCAAGAGCTGGAAAGTTGAACTTTGACATGACACAGGCTGCACCCGAATCAACTGTCTAGAGCTAGGTCTAGGTCTACGCCCATTGAAAATACGCGGGGGACGTGCTGACAATAGATCTATAGCTCTGGAAGCCCGTTTCGGACACGGCCTGAGTCGCCCGCCGGACGTCATGTTGGCAGCCATGTTTATTGAATGGTCTAATGGGATACTTACCTGAGTAACTGGCTTGGCGAGTCAGTTACTTGGGCCAGGCTCGATTAAGCGCAAGAAGTCACGTGAGCGGTAAATCAAACGCTGTCGCGCTTGCGCGAGTAAGCCCGGGGGAAGTAATGGAATGCACTCAAGATTTCAGTCAGTTACTTGGGTCTTATCAGTCTGGATTGTATCCACGACTGGATTTAAGAAAGACAGTGTGACAGAGCCATTTTTTAACCTCGGCTTCAGATGGACTCTGTCTCAAGCACTACCCTTCACGTCGCACCTTAAACAATCTAAAGACTTACAAACTTGAAGAATGGGTCAATGTCGATGTTTTTTTTTAATCCTCAAGCTAGAATCTGGAGCTGATGCCAACTTGCCAAGATCTCAGAAATGGTCCAAAGTCCTCATTGTGCTTACTGAATTTATTTTTCAAATGAACCACAAAGGGAAAGTAACTGATTTGTTTTTGTCAACCTTGTTTCCAGGGCTTTGGGCTGCACGTGGCAAGCACGGTCTCCGAATGGATCATGGCTATCGCCTTCCTCTTCTATTTCTTCAGCTACATCAAAGATTTCCAGAAGGTCGAGCTGGCCGCTGAGGTCAGGCGGTGTCAAAGGTTACTAAATGTGACCTGTGACCCAAATGCATAATCAGAGAGATTAAGAGCGTTTTACAAAACTCGACTTCATCTCCAGCTGTGGTTTAAGCAGATAGTTGTCCCCTGACTTTTGGCTGACACCAGCTTCAATACAGGTCCATGTTTTTAAATAAAAATATAAAATTGTATAATGTAAAATAAGGTTGAAGAGGGTTTAAATTTGGTTGAAACGTTTCAGACTTCTAAACGACTCCGGAGCCAGCGATGAAGTCTAAGCTGGGGACAAATCCAGAGTTTAAGAAATGGCTGATGTAGATCATACAGGTCAAGGGACCTAAGGTTTAATCATTGCTCCCATGTTTGTGCGAGGATGAAGTTTGCATAAAATTGATGCATTCTCAGAGGTCAAGGTTCATGCATCCTCACATAATGAGTTGGAGATCGCACAGTTTAATCATAACAAACATTCTTTCAAAATTGGAGTGTTCAATTTGAAGACATCGTTATTAATCATGAGGTCACACGGCTTGATCAATCACAAGCAATGGTTAAAACTTATGTTTGAACATAGTTTGAATGCATAATTAATCAGAAGTCAACAAATTGAGTTGTTTGTTTTTTATTGAAATATAAGCTCTTGCTGTAGTTACAAAATGGACATATTGCATGAATTATTTTTGGGTTTAGATGGGGGGGGGGGGGGCAGGCCCGTTGCCAAGGGGCGGGGGGACCTGGTGGGGCCGGGCCCCCCTTGGTGAGCAATTGGCCCCCCCCCCCAACTGCAAAAGCCATACATGTGTACTATGTATTTTTTGTATTTTTTATGGTAGTGGGCCCCCTAGTTGGTACTATACCCCCCCCCCCCTTCCCGCGACGCTCAGGGCTGGCAATGGGCCTGGAGGGGGGGGGGGGTTAGTAGCTGCCAAGAGACAGTTTAGTAGGCATTTGCTGTGATTATCTATGCGATTTTCCTAATATTTTGCGGTCCCAGAGGGGGGTAGATTTGCCACTGCAGCAGATCATAGAGCTAGTACAACAGCATGAATAGGAACAAAGCCTTGATATGTGTTACATATATGGTCGGTCTGAATACTACACATAATTTACGGTCTACATTTGCCATTAATAGTGTTGCACTGCATGCTCCCATGCTCCCAGTCGCTTTACAGATATGATACAATAATTGAAAGGAATATTAACACATACTTTTTCAGATAAAGTTAAAGAGAAAATATGTGGGAGTCAGGGGAAAAGTAGAAACCAATCAAACTGTAGTAAGCAAGTCACTAAAAGCGGAAAATTGGGGGTGTTAAAAAAAACAGAACAAAAATACAATACAAAACAGCACAACAATAAATATAAATATCCAGGGCCTGCGAGGAATATGGAAAATTATGAAATAAACAAAGAAAATAACAGTCCTAATTCTTGTGCTTGTATTTCATGTGATTAAATGTTTACCAGACATTTTGGTAGGTACTCTATCAACCACAAATTATATACATATGAAATTACTCATATTGAAAAGTAAAGTGAGAATGTATATCAAATTAGTATGCAGGCTGCATTAGGCCCCCCAAAAAAAGTCTCCGGTTTCTGGTATGCGCGCGCGTCGCCGTAGCCATGCGCGTCGGCAAAATAAAAAAGTTTTTTTTTCAATGAAAGATGATGTCTCAAAACCACCAAACTCACTGGTTTGACTGGAATTCTGCTGCTGCACAATTTTAACGTGTTTTTAGATGGGGTTATGGTCGAGAATAAGCTTTACGTGGCCTCTCTGGACTCCCATATATTTGCACTAAGTTTAGTCGGGTACCATTTGCAGTCATCAGCACACATTTGAAGCAAAAAAATCAGGTAAAAAAAAAAAAAGCCGCGTCGCCGCACCACTTTTTGGGCAAGCTCCATACCAGAAACCGGATACTTTTTTTTGTTGGCCTTATTGTGTGTCTTAAATTTATTGTTTTAGCTGCACAAAGCAGTACTGTGAATAGTTTTGAAATTTCGATTATATCTTGTAGAATTGGTCCATGTTTTTGACATGTTTGGAGACAAATGATAAAGCCAAAAAAAAATAATAATTCTGCTTCCGGTTTCTCTACCTACCCTATTCTGACAGCCCCTACCCTAATTTTGTTACATGGGAACAATTAGAAAAAAATATCCTTGACTACATGCAGACGCCTCAATATGATAGTACACACGCACAAATTGCCTCCCCCCCAAAAAAAAAATTCCCTACCTACCTACCCTATTTTTGAATGTACACGTAATCGGAAGCAGAACTATTTGGGGTTTTTTTTGGGCCTTGTGTTCCAGAATCAGACTCTTGACACGTGGTTTCTGTATATTGACAAAAATGCTTGTTTTTATTTATATGATCAAAGATAAGAAGAGTGTTCTTTATTCAGATGATTTTAATTTTGTAAAATGTAGGGCCTATAATTAAAATGTCAAAAATTCACTGAAAATGGTAAATAATGTTTAGACTTAACATAGCTTAACCTGATTGATATGAAAAATCGTCCAAGAGATATTTGAAAGTAAAAATGTGGAAGACTGCATATAAAAAGAGAAATAAATTTTTTATTACTTTAATAATTGTGGTGATTTGTACTAATTATAAGTTGTTGGAATAGCCGGGGTCATTATAACCGCTAAGAACAGATAATTGGCATAGAATATCGCCTAGCAAAAACAGGTTACCAACCAACATGCCAATGGGATTTATATTGCTTGTAACTGGTTCCCAGCGAAATATTGCTCACAGTACACAAAATGCTTACTGAGCTATATACTTTCTGCTTTTAATATAGATCAACTGCTTTTGGACCGAGAGCAGTGACGTTAATCTAGATCTGTGCCGGGGATGGGGGACGATCAAAATCCTAAAATTGCCCGGCCGTGGAAATTTGAAAGGGGGGGGGTCTCTTCAGACTTCAGGATATATAATCAATATTTATGCTCGCGCTTACATCAAAACAGCGCATTTTAAATGCTTTTGTATTTTGTTTCTCCACTTTTCAGTGCTATTGGATACACTTTGGTTGTTAAAGATGTTCGACGAATACCTCGAAATCCGCATTTTTTTCTCATCACGGAAAAGTGGGGGGGGGGGGATTCAATAGCCCACCCCCTTTAGTCAAAAAGTGTGTGGGGGCGGGTCTGGGGATTTACCCCATCCTCCCGAGAGTGTTTAGTTCCGACCTGGTTTACCGCACTTTATTGCATTAACATGTGACCATGGACAAACCCAGGCGCGGTTCTACGTGGGGGGGGGGGGGGGGGTGGGCTAGGGGGGCTTTAGCCCCCCCCCCCAAAAAAAAATTGTGTCTAGCCCCCCCCAAAATAAATTTCGTAAAAAGAAATTGCATTAGCAAAAAGAAGGATTGTGATCATGATTGTGATGTACATGTACATGCGAACGGTCTCCCCCTAAAGAAATAGTCGTGACAAGGGTGCATTTGTAGTTAATATAGTGTGAATGATTTTAGGATTTTATTGGCGCTCCCCATTGAAAATATGGCACAATGCTAATCCCCGATTGCGGCAAACTTACTGAACAATAGTGTTCAGGTTATGGCCTTGGCACGGCATCGCCGCGGATCGCAAAAGTACTGTTGTGTGATCATCGAAGCGGCGTATCGATGACGAAACACAAACTCTGTGTTTATTCCCCTATGGTATAACGAAAGTGATTCATCTGGGAAGCCTTCCGTGCAAATATTGGCTTAAACTAAAGCCAACAAGACATTTGTCATGTGATAAATTGTTTAATTGTGTAATGTTCTAACGTTCTTGCTATACATGGTTGCACTGGAAATATAAGCCACGTAGTTCAACGATCTGTACTTATACTAGGATCAGGAATCCAGTCGAAGGACGGACTGACTTTCACCGGGTGATCGCCATGTCTATACCGGGGCTAAGGAGCTTTCCGTACGGCTGCCTGCCGTTGGCGGCCGGTGGTTGCTCGCTGGTTGGTTTAGTGGTTCCGTAAGTTGTGGTCTTTTGATTTTCTTTTTCTTTCAACCATTTTCATATCTGGCTTAATGGTGTATATACACTACAGATGGGGGAGCATTCATCTTGACCATGTTGACAGTACATTCAAGAAAAAGGCATGCATCAGTAGGGGTAGAGTAATTACACTATTCGGATCATGTACATGTACGTACATGTACATGTATATACATGTACGCCATGGAGCTATAAACACAGTTCATGAAGCTACAGCTGCGAAGGTCATATCTGGCACGAAAATTAAATTGAACTTTGTTAGTAGCAAGGTCATTTTGATAGGGGGGGGGTTTAAAAGTTCGTGAAAAGGGCACATCACAAAGCCAAATTATGTAGACCTGGTTTTTTTTCTCGGGACACTTGGCCTCCATAAAATCAAAAAGTGGGTGGGGGCATATGGTGTGGGTACGGTGTGTACATCTTCTAACGGGCCGCTGTTCAAACCGGACGATCATGCATCACACTATCGTATATATCGGGCAATATAGATGGCGCTTTTTCAGGGCGGCACAATTGCCCTGCGACGGATGATCGACGGTCGCCCGAAATTTCAAATGTTAAAAAAAGAGGCACTTTTGTAAAAAACACACACCATATTTACAAATATTGGGGGGGGGGGTAAACGCTGGTGGAAAAGGGCACTTCAATATGTAGAAAAGGGCACTCAAAATATTGTGTGTGTGTGTTGGGGGGGGGGGGGGGGCGGGGGGTAAATACACCCCTCCCCTCCCCCTCCCCCTCCCCCCCCCCCCACCCCAGCCCAGGCTACGCTTCGCCTCTGTAATAAAGAAGTTCGACGACTCCCAAGAAGTGGCATACCGTTTAACAGTTAATTGTATAAATTGTATTTTTCGCCCGGCGGTGACCGCCTGCCGGGTGTTGCCTTTTCCCGATGCTATAACGGGCATTTTTGGTTTCATTATTTCGATAGAAAATGTGATGTACAGTATAGGTTTTTTATTTTCTTGCAGGTACATTATTGCAGTGCGTTTGGGCCATGTTTACCCGATTTTGCCGTTTATTAGGTAAGGTTCATAATCATAATGCATCCCCCTTTTTTTTTTTTTTTTTTTTTAAATATCATCTACAATCTCAAGAACGGTGGCCTTTGCCCCTTATAGTTCCATTTTTCTTTCCAAAATGTGCAAAACAGGTTGAGTAGACCATTTTGCAATGTGTGCATTTTCCCCGTCGATCGAACCAACAATAATTTGCTCAACTAATATGTAATCACTCACTTGAAGCTCGTGCAGTCAGATCCGGCATGGCCGTGGAGGTGACACTTTTCACCCCGGTAACGCAGGTGATCACATGCCATTAAGTTAATTACTGGCGTTGGCCCTATAGGCCTTATTGACGAGTTTGACATTTTTGGCGAGTTCCCTGAACGTATTTCATTTAAAGGGAAGATACAACATTTGAAAACATAAAAAAAAACCGGAATGATCAAATTATCACGAAATATCTTACTTGATTGTTAGGGAATGACAGTCGATCCTGTAAAATTGTGGCTCCTGGTGTGCTGCCATTTCAAGAAAAACTGTATTTTTCCACCGCTGGTCGGCCGACCAGCTTTGGAGAAAACTGTTTTTTTTTCTTTTCAAAAAGTGTTCTTAGTTTTCTTAGGCCCCCCCAAAAAGTCTCCGG